GACCAAGCACGGAAGACCACCATAGTGTCACCCGCTCTCCCTCCAGCGGGCTGCAAAGTGCAACCAAGAGGTGGAAATAGTTCAAAAACTTTTGTCAAGACTTGCAAAGCCTTGCGGCGGGGAGAACAAGTGCAAACAAGTTAGGGATAGTTAGGGCATATGTAGTCCACAGAAAGCCACAGCGACCATATCTGAAGAACATTCCCCTGACTGGGCCGGGCTTTCCGTCGCTTGCCCTGGGCTTGCTGCACCACATGGTATGCGTCAACCATCTTGAACATTTTGATCTCACTGTGCCCCAACAGCAGCAGTTTCTGGACAAACTCGCGGTCTTTGAGAATGCCATCCTGGGAGGAGCGTCGAGCTGTTATCGCCCAAGCCTTTCTGGAAGAAAATGTACTTCGGGTCCAAGTCGGACAGCTTCAGTGGGACAATCTCGTGGGGAAGCACCTCGAGCAGGCAATACACCAGAGAAGGAAGAACATGTTCACACGCTTGCAGAATTTTGGCCAGAGCATTGGATTGAAGCAAACCAAAAACGTTATGCGTGGCACAGGGTTCATGTCGGCCCCACCTCCTCATGACGACATTCGGCTTCTGGGAAGGAATGAAGAGGCACTGGCACAGGCGTGTGCTCTTCGATGTTTTCCAACGCTGCTACAGCAACCGCTTGCGCATCTCCACATGGCCCCTGGCGTTCACCTGGAAGATGAGTAGGAGGTGGTTGCGTAGGCGCAGGAGCAGCGAAAGATTGTGGGGGGCAAGGCACTTGCACGGGCTGGAAAGGTTCATTGTCGGACTCGTCCGAGCTGGCAGCTGTGGCAGGGTCCAATTGGCCCCGCAACACTTCCGGACTTGAACGCTGAGCCCGACAAGCCGCGCAGCCACCTGTCAAGCGGAACAACTCTATAGTTTGCTTGGCAAACAGGACTGAATGTTCTAGAAGTTATCTTCCTCAACCCTAGCCAATGTCCCTGCAGACAGGGTGCCTGCACATGCTCCTTCGTAATTTCCACCAGCCAACTCCAAGATGGCGACACTTGCGCTCAGCGTGCCTTGCATGTGAGCAGCGTTTGCGTGCAAGGCCTCCAACGGTGTGCCCTCCTTGCCAGACGCACGGATGGATTGCGCCACTTGGTTTCCTGCGTGTCTGTGAGTAAAACCGGCGCGCAAGCGCTCGAATCACAAAAAAAAATCCAAAGCTCCCAAGCAAATATGCAATCAAGGCTCCCAACAACAGTTTTTGCGCTTCATCTCGGATAGTCAAAACTGAATGCGGCCGCTTCTCGAAGTGCTCACAGACCCTGCGCGCTCCAGCGCAGATGTGTTCTGTCTGGTCCTTGACAAGCCACCGCCCACTAATCCGCCACTCAGTCCGCACCACCACCGTCTCACCTCAGCTGTGGCTGCGGCACACAAGCAACATGAAGGAAACAACCCCGCAACGGCAGGGCGCGCAGCTGACCGGAAAACGCTTGATTCAATGTAGCTGGGGGCAAAGGCTGTTGTCTTTTGAGCTTTGCTCACATGACAAGAAAAATATGAAAAAATGCAACGTGAGCCGAGGAGCCTCTAGAATCGGCTTCTTCGATGTAACGAACCCTCGACCTCACCCCGTCTGGCAGCACAGCAGGGTAGCCTTCATCTTCTGAATCGTCCTCTGGCTTCTCGACCCCTTCAGCTAGTCCACCGGAAGATGGTCGCTTGCAGCGCGGTCAAAGGCAACCAAGTCTAGGCTGGTACATCACCGTTTGTTTCCACTTGAGAGGAGGGAGACACGAAAGGTAGGACAGCGGGAAGAGAAGAGAACGCGAGAGGCAGGAACAAAAATGCAATGTTCGACATGGTGATTTATCCCCTCGGAGGCGACCTTTCGGGTGGGGGGGTGGGGGGGGGTCTGAATTGAGCGATCAATTATTAGACCCGGACGTCCCAACACTTGCTTCGCAAGACAAACTCAAGGTATCACCTAAAGGGCTACCTTTCGTGAAAAGGCCTTTGGGCACTTTATCGTGCCTTGCCACAGACACATCCACGGCAAAGAGAGTGAATATGAAATTCTAATCACGAAAGGTGTTCCCCGAGGGGATACATACCTAGAGTTTGTTTTGTGAAGCACGTCCATTCTGAGCCTTTTATGGTTTCAGGATAGTTCAAATCCTATGATGTTCCGATTCAATGCTCACCGATGATCTGAGCCATGGGGCAAGTTTGTTTTCCTATGTTTTCCTAAAAAAAGGACCTTGAACATTTCGAGAGCATATGTTTGAACATTTAGAGTGCCACCTTCAGGCCCCGCTCCATGCTGATGAGCTTTGCTGGATGGCCATTGCCAAGGAGGGACAAGGCAATGTGCTGAGCCCGTGAGCTTGCGTTGGAGGTGGATGTTCTCGTGGCCACTTTGTTTCGCTGCGCTGCACAAGCTTGTTCAACGTGCGTGCGTAGGCATTCACGGCGCCAGCCGTTTTGTTTCGGTCATGGCGGGAACCCAGCAGCCCTATGTTCTCTAGGAACTCGTAGCACTCGTCTAGGTTGAACGCTTGCCCGTACCACACTGTAGAAGAACTCCGTCATCGTGAAACTCTGCAACGAAATTGACTTGGTGCTGACTTGCATCTCTGACGGCGGCTGATAACCTTCTAGTGGAGGCGCCAGTTTGGCGGCGAGCTCATCTGCTGCCTTTTTGGCCTTTTTGACGAGCTTTGCCACAAAATCATCCGCAGTTTCAAAAAGGAGTTCAACAGCTTGGAACAAGCGAGTTTTTCTTCGTTGAGGGGGCACCATGCGCAGCACCAGCAACATCAAGCGACTTGGCTTTTGGTTCCAAACACGCACGCTGGCGCCATTCGACAAGGCAGGCATTGCCTCCGCAAACATCATCACGGTGGAAAACAAGAAACTAATAAACTTTCTTGGGGCCCGGGAGATGTTCTGCAGCATTGAAGTTGTTCTTCATCACATCTAAAGCAGCCCTCCACAAAGCATCCCCTGCCTTGTGACTCAGATCTTCTGGGCTGTGCGTCGGCATGGTTGGGCGCCCCTGTGAAATGACAGTGTAGGACTGGAGCGCTATCAGTTTACGCGCGCATTCAGAACAAATATAATACTGTGTGAGTGTGTGTGCGTTTGCCCTCCTGTTTGCCCAGAACCTGGGAGCGCTGCGATATGAACAAAGAGCAAGGATCTACGCCAGCCGCATGAATCACCATGTGAAGCTCGAGGAACATAAACGCCAGCCATGATCCTGTCTGCTACATGAAACAGCATGAAGGAACACAAAGCGCACTGCAGTCTTTTCCCGGCCAGCGCCGGGAAGAAAACATATTTCACCTACTAGCAGCCTCAGCTGCACTTTCTCGCCTGCGCTTCTTCTCTACGCCCCACATCTTGTCCTGCAGCGCTTGAATCCCTCTCGCAGCGTTACCACTTCACTGCGCGTTTTCCGCTCGCAGAAAGATTGGCCAACTTTGACGTTATCATTGATGAGTTTCACGTCAGTGGGCATACTGGCGGGTGGTGCTAGGAGGTTTGCCTCCCAAGCCTGCAGCAGAACAAAGACATTTTGAGTGGTTTCCTAACAGAAACAGCTGAAACGGTGAACTCACAACTCAGTCCTTTGGGCCACTGTTTCCACCACTACGGGCCTTGGTTTTCGCAGTTGGCTCTGCAAGAGCTTGCAGATGTCCACAACCTTTTCCGACCTCAGCTCCGATAAGCTCCATCACGCCCAGCAGGAGGCCAGACTCTGTGACAGCTGGCCACATGTTTTTACAGAAGGTCATTTCATGAACCATCAGTGCGCGCCGGTTCCCTATGTCATGGGTCTGTGATGTGTGTTTCAAGTGCTGTTTTGCGGTTTGATTGTGGAATTGGACGGCCCGCAGCCCCAAAAAACATCCCAGGGCACCCAACATGACTGACATGAGTGCCTCAGTTTGGTTTCTAGGGGTGTCAGGGCAAATTATAAAGTTGCTGGCCAGGTTTTGTAAAATGGTTTTCCTCATCTGCGTTCACTTCCCTTTGGGGTCCTGATTCACTAGATGGCACTTGGAGGGTGGGTGTTGGGGCGTCAGGTTCCGTACACATGTTTCTGAATCATTTTGTTCTTGTCAATGGTTTCTTCTTTACTGGCAGATAACAAAATGAAAACTTCTCTTTGTCAACATGTGCCTTCTATTTAACAGTTGGCACCCTGTACGTCTCTTTTGTTTTTCCTGGGTGTCTGCAAATCACTGTAGTACTCGGTCGCTCATACTTGTTCATAATTGGCCGGGGGCAAATGTGGCGTGAACTTTCGCCAATCTTGAGCAGCATGTTCGCCAAGTTTTCGCCTTTTGCGGGCTAGGGTAATGGTAATGGTAGTAGTAGTAGTAGTAGTAGTAGTAGTAGTAGTATTTGTAGTAAGTAGTAGTAATAAGTAGTAAGAAGTAGTAAAAAGTTGTAAGAAGAAGAAGTAGTAGTAGTAGGAGGAGGAGGAGGAGCAGCAGCAACAGCAGCCGAAAAAAACATGTTTCGCCATATTTTTGGCCAACAAATACTTTGGCGACCTTTTTTTCGCCAAATGAGGTTTTGACGTTCCAGGGTCATGGCCAACAGCGCAACCGATTACTCAGGCAAAGTTTGCTGCTAAAAATACCTTTTTTTCGTTTGGAAACATGGTTCTATAGATGGCCAACTGATGGCAGAATGTGTTGGGGGTTCAGGTTCTCTTGCACCGTGGTCGGTTTCCCCTGTGTTATATGTTTAAGTATCCATGGGTGAGTCTCGATACAATCATGACACATGGATGATTCTCTGCGAATTGGTCTCTATAAAATAAACCTACCCAGGGTGACAGTCTTCAACTATAAGAGCCATCATCGAAATCCCCTCCTCTGAAAATCCAGGCGCCCAGGGCTCACTTTACCCAAAAAATGGTTCTATAAAATATTTGACCCATTATATTGTAAAGAATACGCCATGGTACCATGCACATTGCTTCATTTATTTGGCCGAGCAGCAAATTGAAACCCAAATATTGCACTGCGGTGTAACGCTGCCCATCCACCAACACCACGGGTTCAAGCTCCAATGCCGCGCCAGGCAGCCCAAGTTTCCAGAAACAGTACAGCAAGGCCAAGTATATCGTCAAACCTTGAACAATGAATGTGGACACACACACACGCACAAACAAAGAATCCAACAATGACAATGCTGCCCTACGCTGTGTCTTGGGCACACCGTGGCCTGCGAAAACAACTCTGCACACCGTCGGCCGCACAACGGTGGACGCAGTGTTTGGCACGTCGTTGAGGAGCCTTTCGGTGGACGCCATGGCGGACGGTTTAGGCGGACAACCGTCTGAGACAGCGCAGCGGTGTTGATATGAATTGCAGTGCAAGGTGTGCGGCTGTCTCAGTCATGTTTTGATACAATTGGTTCCACCCAAGGTGTGCGGTTTGCGGCTTGCGCCAGCCAGCTAGATGCAAATGATGTTCCAACCGACTGGGTGGCGAGTGACCGGAGTGACATGTGTTCATCATATCACATTGTATGTGGTGAAGAACAGTGATTTGTTTGATGATTCTTTAAAAACATGAACAAATATCCTGGTCATGCCAACCAATCAATGTTGTCGTGTGTGGTGTGCCTGTGTTTGACGCAAGCCACATAGCGCGGTGCGAGGGCGTCCATCTGACGACGTTTGTTTTTTGTCGCTTTTCGCGGGAAGTCCTGGTCAGGGGAGCGAACCTCTTTGAGGTGGCCAAATCCAGGCTGCGCGCGGGAAAGTCCAAGCAAGCTGCCTTCCCGGTCTGCCGGAGAGGCAGGCGGTTGGGGCTGGGAGGGCGGGGAGAGAGTCTGGGTGAGGAGCTCGGAAGAGGGGGTGGATTGCTCGGGGAGGAGGTTGGCCGCCCAAGCGTGCATAGCCGTGTGGGTGAGCAGCGGGATCCAGCGGACGGTGAGCTCGGATCAACGAAGCCGCGACGGCGTTGTTTGGAAACCTGCATCACCCCGTGGACCACTGACTCTGGCCCAGGCTTTGGCTTCGACCCGGCCAAAAATGGTGGTTCCACATGTTGCAACATACTCCGAAATCTCATTGGGAGGCACCACTCCAACGATTCATTCATCCAGTTCGTAGACGCAAAAAACAACAACGACATCATGATGCAAGTGGCCCTTTGTAGCCTATAAGGTTGGTAGTTTGACACTTCCCTTCGCGTACTGCGCTGTGTGTACTGCAGCCCATCGAGCCGCCTCATGGTTTGCCTAAGTCTCTTTTATCGGCAATTCGTCGCGTCCAAACCGTGGCGTGGTTTGCGGCGTGGTTTGGGTGATCGCAGATGAGGCGAGCCATGAACAGAGCACGGAGGGCTTCGCCCACGGACTGATTCCTTTGGGTCGCAACGCCCCAGTCCGGCGGATCGGGCATGGCGTAATTCCGGACGTGGCATCGGGCACCGAGTGGGGACTGCGCGTCGACCAAGGAATTGGGCACTGAGAAACAGCTCCATCTTGCGGACGGTGGGGTGATCGGTGGCGTCGCGGAGGTTCCAAGTCAAACACGCGTCGGGTGAAGCTCCGTTGAACGGTCACCCTCAAGCAGTGAACCGTCCAGCCACCGGTGACCGGCACGGTCCGGTCCGGTTCTCCGGCCGCGGGTCTTCGAAAGGGCAAGACGCGGTCATATATAGTGAGTATTCAGAAGATTTAGAAGCTGTTCGCTATACAGAACAGAACAAACTGCCAATGACATAAAGACCGTGCTCAGCAACGAAACGGTGCTCTCTGACGCGTGGACGTTCCTTTCAGCGCCGTCTCAGTCGGTTGCGATGTGCGGCGCTCCGGATGGGCGTTTGCCCGGCGCTCATTCAACGTCCGTCTCAGAGAAGACCACCTGCAAACACGGGTGTTGGTCGGCTGGACACCGGACACAGGGCCAGAATAGATCTTAAAGATGATACGCTGCCCTCAAGGAGACATGTTCCCTGCCCAAACTGGGTCTCAAGATCGGAGAATGGATCACATTCATGTTATCAAATCAGGGAACATGTGGCCCTTAAATATATATATATATACCAGGGCCCCCAGGCCAGGAGTGTCTAAATATAGCTCCTTAGAGGTGAAAGAGTATCCATTAACCACCCCAAACCGGGGGCCCTGGTATATGATCCGAGAATCCGACTCAGTAGTTTGGAGAAGGACTTAGGACTCAAATCCGCTTCAAATCCAAACTACTGAGTCCAATAAGGGTGCATGCAACCTTTTTACCCTCTATAGAATAGTGGCAATGACCCTTATAGGTATTGGTTCAATTACTGATTTTGCCAGGTGCCTTGAGACTCCAGGTATAGGTTTATATATTATAATATAGGGCTCTTGTACCCACCCTTGTGTCTGACAAAGAATGGGATGGTTAGCGGAGATCGGTCAGCCCGGTGAGACGAAGTGGGCCTTCCAACCGAGAGACCTCCGACCCCTTCTTTCTGCAGGGAAAACCCATTCGAAAACGGTGTTTCAGGTCTCCCTGATGATCTCACACCATAGCACCTCCAGTCGTACCTCCTCAGAAGGTATTTGGACCAAACCCACCCCAAACACCTTCTCAGAAGGTACTTGGAGGCCTAGGGCATAGCACCACCTATATAATTTGGATGGTTTCTGGACCTCCCCATGTCATCGCATGTCGACCTGCTTTTAGCATCTGCCGTGAGCCGAATCTGGGTGGTGCAGGTTCAAAAAAAGCACTCTACATACACACTTGGACGGTGGTTTTCACCACAAAGTTTGACACCATCAAAAAAATGTGTGGGCCAGGTTTTCACACTCAAGGTGGAATTCAAGGTGGTTTCATCCGAAATCTGGTGGTTTGATGGGCCGCACATGTACTAAATTCCCCACGGGCCATTAGGCTGTTGGGCAAATGTTATATGGGGTTGGTCCCGACCTTCGGAGGATGTGGGCCAGGAGCGCTAGGGTGCAAACATCTGCTGAGTTGCTTCAGACCCAACATCTCTTCCATCAGGCATCCCAACTATCTCCGCTCGGACCTTCGAGCTTATCTCAAGGCCTTCCAACTGGGACGCCCGAAGCCACGGCGGAGAATGTCGCCCTCGCGCCTCAACAAAGTGGTCAGATCCCCCTCCGAAACTGGAGCTTCTTGGAAAAGCTTGAGTTTTGGGGTATGTGATTTGATAAGGAGAGACCCAACCAATCAAGTTTGGTCCAGTCCAGTTGTCCTCTTTAAAGAGCTGGGAGGTCTCCCAGCCTGATAGGGAGACCTCCCAGCCCGCCCAGCCTGGGGGGTCGGGGACGTCCGGAGGTATTCATCTCCAGGGCTGGGAGGTCTACACCACCCATTGTCCGAAGCTCCATCCAGGCTGCTTCCCTCGTCTTCACTCGCTCCACCGCAATGCCAGCGCACAAACAGTTGGAAGAAGTGGTCAGTCTCATGGAGGTCTCATTAGGTCATTAGGTCATGGAGACTGAGGTCATATAGGGATTGCTCGTGCTCGTTGCCACCACCTGGGAGTGGGCCTGGACATCCGATCTCTCCTAAGATGCACAGCCGGAGCTAAGCCTTGGCTAAGATGATGGCTGTCAGTCAAAAGCCGGAGCACGTGGTTGACCCTGGAGCCCGAAAAAAAACATCACCGTATGGAGCTCCTCTAAACGGTGAACATGCCGCATGAGTCGCAGATCGTACGTCTCAGAAAAGCAATACTACCAGTTTCTTTGTTTTAACATGGTCCGTTTTCTATTGTACGTTCAAATCCAGAAGTCAGCTTTTGCTTGACCAACATGGGATCATGCCCAAACACTCGCGGAAAGAGATAGTGGCTGTGGGTCACCCCATAACCCTACGTGACCACTGAAAATGAACAAATTCCTCTATAAGGGATGTCAACCCACCAGGATTTGGGGGGCTCCAGGTTCTGACCTACCATATATGATAGATGCCTACATGCTTTGGGGGGTCAATATATAGATCAATGTAGGCTGTCCCTCGGTCCTTTGCTAAGGTTTAGAACAAATAAAAACTCGACTCACATCGTTACGAAATCGCTTCCAAAATCTTCTAAACCAATAAGGACTATATATAGGTAAGGGTCTGGTTGAGTACAAACTCGGACAGCCCAGTTTCTCACGGATCATCTCTTGGGGGACATCTCTTGGATCCGCACCCCACGATCACGGCCAGCCCCATCTCCATGACCTGGCGGACCAAATGAGTTCTGAGGTGAAGCAAGAGCTCTGGTTGCTTGAAGAAAGGTGTTTTGGACGCCAGGAACCCAGCCATACCTCATGTTCAAAGGTGTGGGCCGACCCTCCAGGCACCTGCAGTTGTGTTGAACACATCGCCCTCTCAGAAGGTATGTGGATTATAATAAGGGTTTATAGTCGTTTTGAAAGGACACAGTGTCTCACTAAAGTCACTAAAGCCCTTTCTCAATCAACCACCCATGATGTTTTTTCTTGGATCGATACCTAAACCTACAGAAATGCAATGGATCGACTTCCCTCCCTAACCCCTTTGGTAGCACTCTTCGTTCCTGGAAATCCAGTCCCAACCAGAAACAAAATTGATGTTTCTCCACTCCCGACCACTTGTCATGTAAAGGATCTCAATTCCCATATTGAAACAACTCTGATCAGCCAAAATGGCTACAAACGAGGCCAGGGCTCTCCGTGGCAGGGGTCGGACCCGTCGCAGGGGTGGCCCGGTTCCCAAACCCTATCTGCTTGAGGGCCCGGATTCTTAGGGTAGTAAACATCTCCTCACCAGGTCGACCATCCGCGAGAGCACCTCGTTGGTGCCCTGGAGCTCTGCTTCTTCGAACTCGGCGCTGAGCACCTCGCCCCACGTCGCGGTCTCCTGCAAACGCCCGGTAGATCGGCTGAGAGTGCCCACGGTGGGAGGCAGTTGAGGCAGTGTCGAGCAGTTGAGGCAGTTGAGGTGAGGTTGAGCCACCCAACCGGGGCGAAGGTGAATTTTCTTATACAGGTGAATTGTGGGTTTGAGATCCATTTTGAATATCTTGCAATGACAACTGACTGACCAAACATCCCTCCACGTTAACACGTCAACGGATTGAGTCTGCAAACAAATCCAGCAGTTGCATCCCTGAGGTGTCCTAATGCAGGGAGCCCGCGACTTTTGAACCAAACTGGCAAGTACTGAGCCCAAACAAATCATGTTCACAGACAACAAAAATGCCACCGGAGCTAAAGACCGAGCGCGAGCTGTTCGAAGCACATCTTCTTCACCGAGCCATCCAACACGACACGACGGTTCGCCTGCGCAGTAGCTGTGTGGATCTCCGGTGTCAGCCAGGATTTGTGAGTTTTGGGCTATTGGGAGTGCGCACGCACATGGAGTCCTGGCCAGTCCTGAAGGCATGTTACATAGTGTGGCAAAATGAAATTCGTCGGGAGACCATACAGGTTTCTCACGGTGTCACGCTATAGGTTTCACTGAGAGCCGTGCATCCGTGCAAATGGTCTGATTTCCTTCATGTCCTCCTGCCTCAGGTTTTCTTTCAGCTTAGCTGAGGGAAGGCCCCATCCAGCTATCAGAACCAGTTTCTGACATAATATATATATATATATCATGCTGGGTATCTTACATAACATATCTGACATGTTCAAATAGACCCTCCCAAGCATCGTCTACTGATCATCTTAAATCCTTAAGGTGGCGGTGGCTCTGCTCAAACCGTGTCAGTCCTATGCATCTCCTCCCAAAACATGTGCTCTCCGAATTCTCCGCGCATCTCCGAGGAAGGTTTTTCATCGGAAGACCAGCATGAGGAGGTCCCCCACCCGAAGCTGGTGGAGGCCGGCCTGTTCTGGGCCCCGCGCATGATCCAAAAAATCCAAAACATCTTAAACCATCTCAAATAGTCCACTCGCTCCGGCGGATGATGCTCTTGATCCCACCCGGCGACCCACCCACCCTCCGCTCTGCCCCTCGACCCACCAACCCTCCCTGGTCTCCGCGCTCCTCACCGGAGGTCTCCAGGGGCAAAGCGATGGGCTTCTGACGGAGAAGCTTCGAGGCCCTGGAGACCCGGCGGAGTGGCCCCAGTCCAATCCAACGAGTCCGGCGAGTCCGCCGTCCCCCCTGGGTGGGGCGCCCTGGAGGCCCCCGGGTGGCGGGCTAGAGGCCACCGGTGGCCATCGTGACTTGCGAGACAAGGCCGATGAGGTGGTCTTGGCGGCGTCAAGTTCCGGTACACTCTGACTCACGTTCCAACCAAACAGTCTGGGGGGGGGGTCCGGCTTTTCCACTTCCAGGTCAGTGAGTTGGGACCAACATGGATTCAAAGACAAGCGATGCCCTTGCTACTAGTAGCTTCTACAGCTACTAGTAGTAATGCCCTTGTTACTACTGTTAGTTAATGTTGGCTAATGACCCATTAGGACCGCGACGGGGATTGCGATGGTTTTTCCTCGCTTCCCACCCATTGTTGGGTCCGTTCACCGAACGAGTGACTCGCTGGAGAGAGGAAGGGCAATGAGGTTGGGGTGGTGTGAAAAAGGTTGATGGTCAATCGACGTTGATGCGTGCTGATTTGGACGGGCATTCTAGTCTTGGATCAAAGCTGAAAACATCTGAAGATATCTCTAAGGAGTATAAAAACACATTCAAAAGGGACGACCAGGGAAACAACACACAAAGATACTCAAACAATCATGAACATCAAATCATCCTTAGATGTCCTGCAGCACTTCTCAAGCCACTAAGGCAGAAACTGCTCTTGCACCAGCTACCCACGTTCGGCGAACCGACCGGGCTGGGACCTGATGTTGGGCGGGAGCTCCACCAACCTTCGCGAGGTCAAATCCACAATGGCCTGGGGGCGAACGAGGAGCTGCGACGGATAAGTTGGTTCTTCTGCACATGAGGCCGGAGGTTTCTCCACAATGGGAGACATGTTGAAGGATGTTGAGGGGATAGTTCATGTCGGCACCTCTAGGGAACTGAGATCTACTGAGCACCTCGCCTTGGTGGGAAGCTGATATAGCAACGAATTGGGGATGACGGGAAGGCAAAATCTGATCAAAGTATAGGCCCTTTGGGGTACCCAGATCGTCCCTTAATTCCCGAGTGGTTGCGGGGTGAAACTTGGTGATGACACCTGACAGCAACAAAAATGTAGCTGGAGCATTGCCAGCCCGAAGAACTACTCTGAACTCACACAATCAGATAGTGTGTAGTGGAATGACCATCGTTTGACCCGGAAGAAGGAAAATAGAGGGGCTTCCCTTGTCAAAGGTCACAGAACCAGATCCTGTCTTCAGCCCCACTACCATCCCCCAGCGTCTCGGCACCTCACCGGTCTCACCGTCTTGGCACCATGTCCCGCCGGGCGGCCGGCGCCACCAGCACGTTGCGCTCGCTGAAGCCCTTGGCCTCGATCCTGGAGGGCGACTCCCGAAACGACGTGCGCCAGGCGCATGGCGAAGCGTGTGGCAGTGCAGTCCCACTTTGACAGGAAACCCGTATAAACATGTTCACCCCCCAAAACGATGGGCTTTCCGACGGCCTTTTTTCTGTTTTTCTCTCGTATCGCGTTTCTTTTCTTCGAAACCCAAGTCCGGAACCACCTCCGGAACCCCATCCGTCCGTACTGTCCGAAGACGGCATGAAAAAAGGGCACCGCCTCCGACCGGTGGAGTCTCGGATGAACTTCCGGACGGTGCCTCTAGTGGTCCCCAAATAGAGAGGATGGCACGGTTTCCAATACATGTAGGGACCTGGAAAAACGAGTCTACCACTTCCAAATGGGTGTATTGGACGCCCCAAAGGCACCTAAGCCCATTGGGCACCCGTGCCGGTGCCTGGTACGTTTGCTCCGGTTTGGGACATTTGGGGTGTTTCGCGGATCTTGGATGAGGTCCAAAACGTATTCGGAACTTGTTAAGGCCGACGACCACCAAACACTCCGACCAGGTGTGTTGATTTGGCGGTTGTGGGCAGTCCCCTTTTGTGCAGCTTCCAAACAAGTCATGAACATTTAGTGGTTGCCGGGGCAAAAAAGGAAACATCTGCCTGCTGTGTAGTTGATGTGGGTGTTTTGCTCCCCAACGCTGGCTTGTCAAACTGGTCAAATACAGGGAACCGAACTTCCATGAACTTCCATACGGATCAAGTCTCTGCGGCGGCGAAACCTACCAAAGTCGCAGCAGTTCCATGATGAAAAAATATGGTGGTTCCAAACCAAGTCCGCTCAGGAAGCTGAACCCCAATCATTCCAGACTCTACAGTGGGCTACTGCAGGTCCTCATTGACAGAAGGACATCCGTGATGAGTTGTTCCTTGCCGACAGGCACCTCACGAGATCGAGGACGGAGCCATAGAACATCCCAAACTCTCCGTCATGGGAGAGAGGCATATGTTCAAGGTGTCCGGATTGGCATATGTTCAAGGCATCTATGGGAGCGCTTGGGGATAGAATCAACCCTGTCAGACCCTGTCACACGAAGAAACGATGTAGCCAAGCTCCTTGGAGAAGTTGCTGTATGCAATAGTCTTTCATACATTGACCACCAAGAGAGTAAGAGAACCGACAAATAGAACCAACAACAAACAAGATTGCAACCCTGGAGGCATCCAAGATGTCTGTCATGACACGTGTGCTTTATTCCAGCATATTCCTGCAAGCGTTTGACAGCGCAGTCTACAGGATTACTGAAGAAACAACTCTTCTTCACTCTCCCACACGCTCCCAGAACCTTGAGTACTCTCCAAGGATCCAGATCTCTGGGGACATGAACTCAGGAACTCTGAAAGGATCTACTTAGAACTTCCAGAATACGAGCAATATCTACGTACCAGGAGCTTCAAATGGTAGCTCTGGATCCCCCGGATCCAGATCCACCCAGATCCACGGGGCGATGCGGATCCGAACGACCCACCGCCCCCCTTCTCGGTGTGCTGCGAAGCCATCGCATCCGCAGCCGCGGGCATTCTTCAGTCAGATAGTCTTCGAAGCTTTATATATATATATATGTATATCTGGCATTCTTGTAACGCAAACCCAGGGGAAACCCAGCTGTTTCGGAGCTCTGCTAGCATTGTTCAGTAAGATGGAGCGCCTTTGAGGCTTCTGAGGCCCCAAGCTGCGAAGATGACCACGCTCTGCTTCGCCTGCTGCCGGTGAGGAGAGCACGGGGGGAAGCTGCCGTGATGCCAGTGTCCTAGGGTTCCCAACCTCTGGAGGTACACTCCCGAAAACTCACATAGACCGTCATAGACCCTGAGCATGGTTTTCTGGAAGAGTGTTTTCCTCTACTAACCAGTGGTGTACTCAGGGTCCATGGGATCGTCTTCCAGGGTGTAGTGTTTGGAGGTCCTGAACGCCTGTGACGAAACAAGGATGGAATGCACTGAAGGATGGTTCCGCACTTCAACCATGTGGCCCACACCTCTTCCTTCAAACCATGGTTGTTGTCTATGCATGAACACCTGCCACTTAAGGAAATCATGTCAAGTACAGTGGGCTACTCAAGTCATGCGATGTGCGTGGGCTCTCAACAAAGATGTTGTGGATGGTTTTCACATGTTTATCGCATAATACACTCACCCGAAACCGATCACAAAATCTGAGACGCAACAATCCACTCTCTAAAAAAATCCTGATGTCTGCCCTTGTATTATCAATTTGGATGGGGGTTCATGTGTATCTTGAAGCGGGTGAACTTGTTCGATGTTGTCTGCTATAGGCATGCAAAGGCCAGCATCGCGTCACAGAATCAAAGGCTCAGCGCGCCAGTGTCTAAGCCTTCTTGGGGAACTCTACTGTTGCCATCTTCAGGTTGCAGTGAATGGGATGGAGGAAGTGACCGTAAAATGTCATGCAAAGCCCCCTTACTTTGCGCATTCAAAATGTACAGAAACCAATTAATTACATGATGTTACATGCTTCCCTGAAAATTCATCTACTATGCCTATACCCCACTTCCTGGTCTCCGTCCTTCAGTGGGCTGCACACCGTAGTTTCGTTTCCGTGCTCACCCGCCGTACCGTCGCCTTGGACTGCAACACCGAGACCGGCGCCGCGCGGAGAAGAGGCAAACCTGCCGGACATTCGGTTCCAAGAGTGGGCCAGTTCTAAGACCAACGTTGTGAATCTTGATGTGCAAACTTCGTGGGGGAGCGCACCACATTCGAAACCTGAAAGGGCAGAGAAATCGTGGCAAACACTGCTTTTAGTTAACCTGGAAGTGCAAATTTCATGGCAAGCGCCGCTTTTGTGAACCTGGAAGTGCAAAGCGCACCACTCTTGTGAAGCCACTACCACTGCTACCTCCACTATGACTGGGACACCAAAATCATGTTTCCGCTCGTCGTCGTGATCCTCTAAACACTGTTTGGAGTCTTTTGCTTGCACGACAATTTTGTTTAGTTGTGCGCTTAGCATGTGCTGATTCAAATCCACAGTCTTCGTTGGCATTTTGTTGTGAAAACCTTCCTGCAAATGCAGCCGCAATAAAGGATGCTTTGCTGACAGAGGGCCTGCCCTGGCAGGTGGTGGCTGTGTTTTTCGCGGTCACTATCGGCTATCGTCTATCGTTGGGCTTTTATTAAATGAATTGCTTCAGAATGGTCAATGAGACTTCTTTGAGACCCAGCAAACCAGTGATGGTATGTGGTGGTAGTAGCTGCTTGATGATGGCAAACTGATGCGTAATAGTGGTTCAGTTTAGCCTAGACGATGGATACCCAGCCATTAACGGCGGGTTGCCATTAACTATGATGTCAATTGTGGTGCTGAATGAAAAGCAAGGGTCATCGTTACAGGTGTTGGCTACGTGCCGATATTGATACAGGATCAGAACCCAGCAGTTTGTGTGTTAGCCATGACCCTTGTCCAAACCCCTCCAGCCGATTCGAAACTAGCCAGGCCATCCAGCCACTAAGGCTAGGCATGGCTAGGCATCCTTTTTTAACATACTCGTCTTTTCATACACGAGGGCCGACCCGGCGTCAGCACATGCACCTCGAGGCGTTACACCAAAGCCCCTGTATAGGCGCCGGACATGCGCCCAAAAAGCATGGGCAAAACTCCAAAGAAGCTGAATTCAACAGTTGCGGTAATGTTGAATTGATGTTGTTTTGCTGCCCAAACATTTGTTGAAGTAGTAGTAGTTGTCGTCATCGTCCTAGTACTAGTCGCACTGGTGGTAGTAATCAGTAATTTAATAATAGTAACTGGTCAAATAAACCTCTGCAAAACATCCACTTAGAACCTCTACCACATCCTAGAAACAAAAACTGCAGCCGCAAAAGGTGCTGTTGTCTCTACCCCCTCCTAGAAACAAAGACTGCAGCCCCGTTCAGAACAACACATCAAAAACACTAAAAACGGACCAGCCCAGACTTCAGTGAAACAAGTCCAGCTACTTACGAAACCAACATTCCCTCAAGCCTTCAACCGTATCCCTAAGCTTGCCCCCTTGAAGTTCCAGTTTTACAACATATGACATGACAACTGTGTTGGGCGGCGGTTATTGTTTCTACCAACAACATTTCTACCAACAACAACAACGACAACACAACAACACCAGCAACAACAACAACAACAACAGCAGCAGCAGCACCAGCACCAGCAACAACAAGAAAAAACAAATCAAATAAACATACTTTGGACACAACATTCCTGCACAAAAACTGTGGTTGGCTAATGTTTGTCTGTGTTCTGTTTCTGACATGACTGGTGAATCAGTTGAATCTTTGTCTTCATCCTTGATGATCTGTGTTTTGGCGAATGAACCGATTGAACCTGCAATGAACCGTCCTTGGTTCATCATCGGAATAAACGAAACCTTTCACCTCGGAATATCAGGTTGGGTTGGGTTGTAACGGGGGTTGGACGCCAAGTGGATGGATTTTCTAACTGAGTTAATCATTCGAGATTTGTACAAGGTCACAAAAGAAGTACTCCTGTCCATGAAAAATGAAACATCAAATCTAGTTTCACTATGGAAACAGGGATGGTTTTCATGGGTGTTCATCTTCAATCTCCCGGTTTATAGTGGATGGCTGGTTGTTTTTTCTTTGGACCGGTGTGCCCTGGTATGCCTGGGTGGGAACACCATGACGACTGATCTACCACGAGTCGTCTTCTCGGCGCCTTCGTCGTCTTCTCCAGCCTGGACGTTCAGTCTTAATGACTGCAGCGCCTTCGGCGGCGCAGCCGGGACCGACTCGGGGCGAAGGCGGGACGAGGGCCCAGACAGGGGCGGGAAGATATGTGGTGTAGCGAGTCTTTAGACATGGGGCGGGAAGTCACGGATGGGAAGTCTTGACTCCAAGTCAGACTTCCAAGCCGGCGGGATTCGTGGTGAGTCACGGCAGGGTCCGCCCAAGGGTCACGGTTTGCCAGGCTTTGCCACTGTCTTCGTCAGTGGGGAACTAGACCATGGCCCAGCATGGGCATGTGGGCCGAGCACGGCCTTTTCCTCCGTGTTCCGCCCGTGTTCAGCGGGCAATGTAGAACCTATACAATGCATTGGGAGCAAACGAAACGCCCACTGCTAATGAACCGTTAGAGTTCCGCACACTCGCTCAAAAAAGGCAGGTTCCTTGGGCATCCACGCACGAGAACACTCTTGGTCTCGTTTAAAGTTTAAATGCATCATCTCTCCTCCAAAAGAAACTGAAGTCCCTTCCTCCAGAACTCCGGCATGTTTGCACCAACCCCCCTAATTCCTGCACCCAACCCGTTTTGGCCAATCAACAATGTTCAACAAAATGATCCGCCTGAGCAGTGGCCTCTGAGGAGGCCTGCTGCCGGTCTTGCGCCTCTTGTTCCTGGACGTTGGAGGTTGGTCCGAGACTTGGGAGGCTAAGCGAGGCTTCGGACGCCCCAATGGCCGGGTTCGAAGCACCATCTGAGGTGTTTGACCGACAAGATGGTGAGGATGGAACACTCTTATGGGGTCCCAAGTACAGTCTCAAACCCTCCTGGCACCTGCATAACAGTGTCTCCGTCCTCCCCTTCTCAGAGGGTCTGCGGATCCCCAGGGACTGAGCTGGACCTCTGAGAGTGGTTCTTGCACGGTTCGCAGAGGGCACGTGACAGACCCAAGACCCCTCATCAGAGGCGGAAGGTATTTAAGTAAGCATGGTCAAATGTAGATCCCGGAATGCTTGTCAGCCAAACGTAAACTGGGATCTACTAGTACTTCAGAAGGTCATATACATGCATTTTCCGACTGCAACCAGGCGACCCATGTCCTTCGCTTGAGACAAAAGGCTGACCTGCTCTTGCCACCTAAAGTCCAAACAGTGCAGCCAAAGAGTGCAGTAAATCATAGTATCATATAGCATCATATACCAGAGTCACTGTGATCATGTGACTGATGACCATTTTTTGTTGAGAATCCTTTTAACCCAATCCCCAGTTCCACAGTCTCCATGCACCGCCCCTCGTCTCTCTCGCCTCGGGGCTAAGTTGCGGCTCGTCAGGTTGGAAGAAGCCCTCAAAGGACCTCGCTGCGGCTGGGCGTCACCGCGCGCGTCACCGGGGGATGAGGATCTCTGCCCAGTGGTGGAAACAGGTTTGACTCATGTCCAAGCAAAATCAAAGCAACAGCAAAGGTGAGGCTCCAGCCTCAAACATATGTAGGTCAAAACAATGATTGTATATGATATGTTTATATGTATGTTTGACCTTTTAGGATGTCCAATATGGTCCTAGCCTAGGTCCTAGGGACTCATAGCCACATCTCAACATCAGCACTCTCCAAATGAGATTTACTCATTTCAATTGAACTCCATGCTCACAACACTCCATGGACTGGAATATATATGCCTGGTGTTGATCCACATGGAACCCCTCTTCCACCACCCCGATTTCGGCCTTTTCTCGGCATGCCCATGCCCAGAACACGCCGTGGAAGCTTAAGTGTCCCCATGGCCCAACACAGTCGCATCGCTCTCGTCGCTCTCGTCGCGTCGCTCTCGTCGCGCCTCACAAGGCCTTCAGCAAAGGTGGCTTCGTTGTTGAGCCGCTCCCGGTCGAAGCTGCGGCCGTCGAAGCGCCGAAGCGCAGAAGAAATGGCTCTGTGATCGTTCTAAGAAGAGCATTGCACTCCCAATCATGCAAGTGGATGGCATGGTTTTTCGGAAAAGTGGTGTTCTCTTCCATGATTTCGAGAAGTGTACTGTAGATTGGGAATACAACGAATCTACTCCATGCGCTCCATGCAGCGCACTTGGGTGAATCAATGGTCCTCCTTTCCGCTGCGGATCGAATTGGAGTTTTTGGTGCCTGAGACCAAATGCAGTGCAACCAACATGTCACGACCCCGCCCAAAGTAGATAGAACGTGATATGTCTTTTTCAAAATGGAGTGGATTTGGAACACTTCTCCATCTGTTTGGCCCAACACTGTCGTCGAAAAACGGCCATCTTTCTGTCGACGCTTGACGTCCATCAGACCGTGTCAAGCCTGGCGTGGCGTGCCAGCCGCGTCCTGCGATGGAGAAGCGGAAGCCTGGGAGACACAGAACGGACGTCCTCAAGGTGAAAGAACACGAGCACTTGCAACATGAACCCCAGGTTTCGTGGTTGGAGGCCATCTCTACTACAGTGGAGGCCATCGCGATTAGGTTGGAGGCCATTGCTAGTAGGTTGGAGGCCATCGCTACTGCGGTGGAGGCCATCGATTGGGTGTTTTTGTATGCAACCAATGTACAGTACCAGGGTTTTAAAGACCTCTTGGGGTGCCAGTGCCATCGAACCTCTAATGACAGATGTTCCATTCATTTCGTAAGATGGTCCCACAATTGTTAATTATTTTTTTTGTGGACTCCATCCATGAACGGGTTCATTTGGAGCGTCCCATGGATCAACCTACCGACCTCGATCAATGGGCGGATCGTGTGGGGCTGGCATGTTGACCCTAGAATAGAAAAGGCCAAGACCCTCCACGCCTGCAGAAACTCAGCGAGGCATATTGAAGAGCCAGCAGCCTCAAAGCCCCAGCATCATGCCAGGTATGGTCCAAAGATGTCCAAAGTGCTTCTGGCCCCTCAAAAAAATGTTTTTCAGCACCTTCAAAGACCTCCTTGGAGTCTCGAAGTGACCTCTTACAGGGACTAAGTTGGACTAAGTGACCAAAATTGGATCTCAAGGACGACCACTTTGAAGGTCCCCGTCCACGGTCATCTTCCATGCTGTCAAACAGCGCGGCGGTTCTGAGCTCCCAGCGCCACCAGGAGGCTTCCTGGCGTACTTACGTCTCGTACTTCGCAATGAGAAGAGACAGCCCCTCCAGAGATGACCACGACATACCATGACCATTTGGGGCCCTGTTTCAGGAGGTTTACATGGGTCTCCCTCCTTTACATTTATATATAATATATATATATATATTATGTTTATCATAATATATAATTGATCCCTAGGGATCTAGTCGTACCAAACCTCAGAAGGTGATTGGAGACACGTAGGTTTGGAGGGTCCGGCCGTACCTTCTGAGGTTTGGTACGACTGGATCCCGAACGGGGATATCCCTCTTAAAGCTGGACAGCAAGTCATAGCTTTACCACTTCCTCCGAGGCATTGTGCCTCCAGCCCTCACCTCACCCAATGAGTGCGGAGGTCTGGCACCGAATCGCTCAGAGACAAGCCAGTTGAGCCAGTAAGGCCTGGCCTCCAAGAAGAGTTCCATGGACTCAAGAGACTGATCCCATTGTCCCATATGCTCCGATCTGTGCCGCACCACATCCCGGTCCGTGCACAACTCGGGGTTGTGATATTCTTTTCTTGGGCTCTGTTCTGATTGCCTTACCCCAGCCGTTGGTTCGACCCGCCAAATCTATACCTGGATCTTCAAACGGCACAAATTTTTGCCGGATACATTTTTTAGTGAAAAGACGCCGTAATCACAAAAAAAATGCCGTTTTATGGGTTGTACAAAATCCATGGACGGGGAAAGACGCCGTTTGGACGCCCAAAGACGCCGTTTAGACGCTTAAAGACGCCGTTTCTTTTTGCTTTCTGCCGGCGTGCGCCTCGTCACAACAAAAAACGCCGTCTTTGGAAAAAGACGCCGTAACGGCATTTTTTCCTGAAAAGGCAATTATTTGTGCCGTTTCGAAGATCCAGGTATATAGATTTGACCCGCTAAAAGATCCCAAATTTGTGGTAGACATGCACGAACTCTTGCACCACTTTCTCTTCTCTGAAGCCAATCCTGCACAAACCTCACCGTCATGTTAAACGGGTCTTTGAACCGTCAGGATGGTGCTGTCCTCCATCGAACCCTCGAGACGAAACCAAGACGGCATCACCGGTTCACCGGTTCAGCGGTTCAACTCACTCCCAGACACTCCTAATGGGACTGCCATATATGCCGCCCCATTGACCCCCATGGCACCACCCCAACTGATCGGCATATATGGCAGTCCAATTAGTCGTGTCTGGGACTGTTTGGCCTCTGCCAAAGCTCCAGCCACTGCGTGCACTGCGTGCCTGGGGCCGTCTGTCTTGATCCGGTGGGTTCCGTCTATCACCGTCTCGTGCCGTGATGTGTTCTTTTGGGGTGTGGCCTGAAGGCATGAAGGCCTGACTTTCTAAGAATGTGTTCCTTTTTGATCATATTTCTCTACCTGGTGATGAAGAAGGGGATGCGATAGATGGAGATCCACATACGTAGCATGTAGTCTATTGGAGACCCCTTAGCTTGAAGGTGTTGGTACAATGGACCTTTGGCTGATGGCAATTCCGGCGCGAGATGACGGGCCCCCCCGAGGACGAACAAGGCCATTCACCTGGCCTTCGCCGCGCGGGACCACATCCGGACGTGTGGTGCCAAAGACGCTGCTGCTGAAGAGGTACCAAAAATGGATCGGGACGAATTCGATCCCTACTCAGCTCGATCGGTTTTTGGCCAATCCCAAGAGGTCTGGCCCTTACATTGATCAAGCCGGTGATCTTGTAAGCATGATGAATAAGACGAGAACAAGTCATGACCTGGACTGGCTAGCATCGAAAACAAACCCTGACCCTAATGACCCTAACATATTGACTTATTAGTAAGAATGCTTCAAGGAAAGCGGCCCATACAGCCAACGTCTCTGAAAAATGAAAAACCGACTCTGGTTGAGTTGTGTGCATGCCCTCTCTTGGAGTCTTGGTGCTGCTGCGGAGAATGAGTCTGAAACACAAAGATCGAAGTTCGAAGCATCATGTATATGTCCATGTTCTTAGGACTTGAGCTCAAGCCAAGCTTGATCAGAATGGCGTCAAGGACACGCAGGTAGCGCATGTACCGGATGACCATCTCTCGTTGGCAAGGCAGAATCCTGCAGGATCTACCAGGGCCCCCAGGCGAGGGGTGTCTAATTACATTTCCTTAGAGGTGATTCGGGGTCTCCATTAACCACCCCAAACCGGTGGCCCTGGTATATTTCGGGTTTAGGATGGTCTGGTTTAGGGTTTAGGGTTTATAGGGACTGGTTTAGGGTTTATAGGGAATGTCCGTTCAAGCCACCTTTCCAACCACGTTGCCTTCCTCCGCTCTTTGCTCCGTGGCCGGTGGGTCCAGTGGACCGCTGTGGCCCGCGCCGTCCGTGTCACGGAAGAGACGAAGGAATTCGTGGGTCCCAAGTGGTGAAGAAACGACTTTAACCGAATACCGCGGACCTCAAGGACCTCGATTTGCGGACACATGGTCACCTACAAAGGACCTCTGGTGTCGAAAAATGGGTGCAAGCATGGAATGGGCATGCATGTAATCGCAAACTCCTCCTTCACATCCTCAAAACGCCAAGACCAGGCTGCTAGGCAAGATTGAGCTTGTTGATTCTATCACCCAGACACTCCGTTTCTGCTGAATTTCTGCCTACATGGACCCCCAGGTCAACCACCCCAATGTGGGTAAACTAAAGATATGTCATGGAGGAGTGTCTGGGTCATGCCATCTCATCAGCCTACCAGGTTGGTTTTGAGTTCCCCAAGAGCAGTTTCTCTGGGAAGTCTGGATGAACGACCTTCGGGGCCCGTGGAGGGTGATTCCGGGGCACCCGGGTCGACCCGTCATCCTCCGTTCATTCGGCACCGGTTAGGGTGAAGGGCACCGGCGGAACTGGAGCCTTTGGCTGCTGAGGATGGGTGTTCACCGAAAGAATCGAAGGCACACCGAAAGAAGCAGCCGGGCGAATGCGAAGCCTTTGCGAAGCCGCTTTTACAGCTTGCTTGCTGGGGTCAGCTTCAAATGGCCGTTGCTCACGCAAACCTTGCCTTAGTTCTGCGCGTTTTGCTCAGCTGATGTGTCAACCTGTCAACTCTCCCTCACACAGTGATTCTCATGTGCACTTGCACAACATGTTAACATCCATACCCACGTCACGACTCCGGAGCCTGCCACCCTCGGAATGCCCATCCGTTCACGGTCGGAATCCACGGGATGTGTGTTGCAGGCCAGGCGCCTGTCTCCTTGACGAGGACTTGAAAAAGATACCTCATTGCATCGGCAGCTCAAAGCACTGTGACCGCGTGGTGGACCAGCAAGTGGATGAACAGAATAATTAGACACGAATAGACAGGTCAACCCACCGGGAATTGGGGGTCCGGATGCCATGACCCACAGCCATCTATGGGACTGGAAGAGGTTTCAATGGAAACTTGATAAACATGTGATGAACTTTGGATGCGTGATTTGAACATCGGTTGTCTGGTCCCACTCTTGTTTGGTGGTTGGATCATGTCTCTTTTAGCCAAGCACTCCATTAGGGACACTTGGGATTGACAGATTTTACATGTTTTTTGCTGACTTTCGGGGTGGTTTCAAAGGTCAATGATTGTCAGTTGTACCTCCTAGCTCCCATTCTGCGAAGCCAGTCCAACTCTGGAGAATCAGCATGAGGTAGATTTCTATACAAAACCTGAATACATGTGGAGCCTGAAGTCCCAGGAGAAGGAGTTCGTCGCTGTATGAACCAGGTGAAGAGATAGACCGCCAGCAGTGGAGCAAACTTCAGCAGCTTGTGAAGAAGACACCGGTTATTAGGAGGAATTCGAGTACCTAGACATTTGTAGACCAGAGTTGCTGCTCACGAATGCCAATGGGCCGGACTCGCTTCAGGAACGGAGAGCAATCAAATGTATTCAAATGTATTCGCCAGAAGTGGATTCACTCATCGGGAACATACCAATCACCATCCAATCTCCCAAGTCTTGCATCCCCGCGCACGAGTCACTGCCTCCATCCCGGCACCCTCGCACCCCACACCGCACCCCACACGCGGCCCGAGAGGCTCTTCCGGTGCGTCGGGGGCTTCCCAGGCCTCCAGGATTAAAGTTTGCCCCGCGAGCACCGGCGCCGCATAGCGCAGCTGCAGTGACTTAAAACGCCGTTGGTCGCCACCTGGCCCGCGGGCAGCGGGCGTGCGGTTCGGATCGGATGGTTCGGTGTGCAGTGCCGCTGGTGGTGGTTTCTGATCAAAATATGCTTGAGGTTGAAGATTGGGACAAGGAGTGGAGCTCTGCATGGCAAATGCATGGGTTCTTAGAGCCCGATGCAGAAACACAAATAAAATACAGTAAGGCGTCCTGTGGTTATGGTCGAGCCTGTGGCGCAGCTCAAGCTTGACCAAATACTTGGTCCTTGCATTGCTTAGGGTGATTTCAATATTTCCCCCATGGGTGACTCCCCCAACCTGTGAAAAAGCGATCATTCCCAGTTCCTGAAGCATACCAGTAGCAAATCCAAGTGCTCCGTAGAGCCCACAGTAGCCCTTAGCATCTCCATCTGTAGAGCCACCAAACATGCAGCATCCACCCAGGACCCGTCCAGGACGACTCGACTCGGCCATCCGACTGGTTCGACTCGGCGGGGCCGCCAGGAATGAGAGAATGGATCCGATCAGGGATATCCAAATAAAAAGACACCCCCCAAATCCCCCAAAATAGATACCTACAGTAGCACTTCCAACGGGTGCCCAATGGAGACCTGTAAGTAGGGTACGGTAGTCTATTGGACACCATTGGATGATCATAGATCCCCACATAGAACATGTATTGGACACCCTGCCACTATCTATTTGGGGAACAAAGATCACACTATATAAGGGGTCTCTCCTTTTTTCTCTACCCATACTCACGATGCGAGGCGTAAGACCAAGGCTTCCGGCCAATCCACCTGGAGCACATCATTGCCAGCTTGGTACAGTGAGCATTTTGGAGTCCCTATTTATGAACCTGCAAATTCACGCCCTTTTGTGACCAACCTAAAACCAGGATATCAAGTTCGGTCGCGAACTGAAGAACCTGGTCAAAACCTGGATATATCCGGTTCCACTTTGAGGACCTGAAACAAATCAAGACCTGTTTGAAGAACCGTCCACACCGAGTTTCGGTGCAAAAAACACGGAGGAACTGGTGTCTCACCTGCAAGACCGTCCATCAGCATCCGCGCAGCATGGCCCAAGGTACCTGAGGAGTTGCTTCTTTTCAACTCATTTGAACAAATATTCAGTCAGGAGCAAAGGACGCTACTAGGGGCTCCTGGCATCGCTACTATAGGAGCAAGGAGGCTACGAGTACTAGGAGTCAGTGGATTCAATCGTCGGTCTCCAGGTGCCCAAGTGTCCAATCCTCCAACTGCGTCGGTGGATTCAACTGACGAACGAATAAAGACTTCGACCTGTGGATTCAATATTCATCCCGGTCGGTGGCAGGCTGAACATAAACATACAGTATCTGACTATCTGAAACCACCCAGAATGGGTTGGCAGCCCCGTTTGGCATTGAATTGCTTTGGGTCCTCTAGCATGCGCATCTATACCTGATAGCTGAACCAAAAAGACCTTGCACCAATCGTTTTCCTCAGCGTGTCGCTCTTTTTCAGCGCACATTTGCCGTGGACGATCGGATGGTCGTAGCCAGCGGTCTTCGCATAACCTGGCTACGAACTGTGGCAAAAAAGAAAAAACACGGCTGCCAAGGAGATTGGATCCTACGGCTACGGGGTTCCCGTTGTTTCTATACTGTAGGGATTGAGGATCTCACACTTTGAAGTTTCTGCATGGATTCCTCAACTCCTCAACCTTTTAAAATGACCACAGCAGGTCTCAGTTAAAAAGAGTGTAACACGTACTATGCAGCAGGAGCTGGGATCCGTTCGCAGGTGACTATAGTGACTAGAGGTGGATTCGATTGTCACACCAGAGCTGCTGGCACGGACTGTGGCGCAGACTGTGGCAACATGTGGCAACCAACGACATCTATCCCAATTCCCTCAGTGCGCACCATGCACCATGTGCTGTTGGCCCATGTTGGCCCATCAGTCCACCTCAAGCACCAGTCCGTTCCCTTCCCCAGTCCTCCGTTTCAGCTAGTTCCGGTGGATGCGACGCGAAAATGGACACGTCCTCCTTGCGAGGCTCACCCACAATGAACCCAGCTCAACCACGACCACCCAGCCGTTTCGACCGCCCTTGTCGCCTGGATCCACATGCAAAGGGTTATAATCCCCGCTGAGTCGATAGATGCTGGCAATGCCCGCCTGCGAGTTCCACTCGGGGCGGGATGGGAAGACGGGGCGTTCCGCCTGGGGCTCCGTTCGAACTGCGACGCTGTCGCACCCGAGTTCGCTGTCCCAGCATCTCGAACTCGGCGTTGGGAACGCGAGTTCGCGTTTGAAGGCATCATGGAAGTGGAACACCAACTGTTTGTAGAGGAACATGGTCATCCAAGGGGTTATGCCATCCATTTTCATGATAGAATTTCAGGGAGTGTATTTGTCCTAAGATTTGGAGGTTGATGGCCGTATTGCATGCAGTAACATGTTAAGGATTGCCAAGCTAAAAAGGCAGCCGTTCCTCAACAACAGTCGAATTGCCATCGTGTCACTGTCCCGGGACATGTTGAAAGCATGTCGCCCGTCCGTATTCAGACCCGGATGACCCGGATGCGCATTGTTGACTTTGACACATGCGGCATGTGGCATGTGAGCCTTCCGCACCAAATGACTCAACCAATATAATCTATCCCTACAAATCCAAAGACCCAGTTACTGTAAAACCTCCTCGAGTAGTGTTTTTGTATGTTTTGTATGACCAACTCCAGTAAACTGAGGTCTTTGACCTGGAAAAGGTATATGGCAACATGGTGCTCGTTGTTATTAAGCACCTGCGCCGACTGACCCGCGACCCATCCCACTCTGGCCCCCGTGATTCCCTGGCCTCCATCTTCTCCTCCACCCGCAGTTTGGGCGCTCGTGAGCCCACAGCCTTCGCCACATCTTTCGGCTTGGTCAACGTCTCGCCGAAGGCTTCGATGTCGTGCGCGCCCACCAGATAGGAGACATCCACCTGCTGAAGTCATCGGTGAAGTGCTGTCGGGTCTGAGACATCGTCGAGAAGACCCGGTCATGATCATGGGAAGCCTATTTAGAGCATTTAAAACGATTTAAAGGCTATAGACGTTGCAAAAACCATCCAAAAACTTGTGCTCATGGTAAAGCTGGACGTGAACCGCCCAGACTGTGAACACCAGCCCCCTGCAAACTCTTTGGACGGCACCATGCGGTAGTAGACGGCCCCGCTGTCGTCCTTGACGTCGTAGAGCCTCAGTGGGAGCGTACGGACAAAAGGACGGAACACATATAGGAAACAAACATGGGAAATACAATATAAAACACATGCGTACGGACAAACTAAGGAAACAAATAGGAACACATATGATAGGCACCATCAAATACCCTCGGAAACCCCAGCACAAAAGGCAAACGAGGTCTTGCAGACCGCTTTATTTGCTCAAGAGCAGGATCAAGAATCATTCATACGCTGTTCGTGGATTTTAATCTTACAGAGTGTGGCTTGACAAAGGCGTCCTGCTCTTGTTTGAAACTCTTGTCTTCGAAAGTGGATGCCAACAACATTGAAGTACACACGACCTAGCACAGTTCCACTTGCAATGGTGTGAAAACTGTACAGTACACAAATTGAAGGCTTCTAAAGGTTTGTGGTGTTTGAAGGAGGGCTCCTGTTGATGGCTTTCTTCTGTTGTGAGGCTTCTTGGTGTCATGCAGCAACTAGGTGACCTAGTGTTCATGCTCATGGTGAATGTTGTGTGCCCTAAACTTTGTGATTCATTAGAGTTAGCTTTCATCCAGGTCATATAAACAGAAACCTTCCCAAAGAACTTACCCCTGTGATCCCCTGTGCCCATTTTTTCAGACCCACAACAAAATCTTCCCATCCCCCCGGGCGTTTGGGGTTGGTTTACTTCTTCCTGTGTCCGCGCCCGAAGAGACCGTCGCGGGTGGAGAACGCCCAGGCGCTTCTCCATGAGCGCTCCTTTGCCCTTCGGCTGCAGCGAGGCCACGCCACCCTCCAGCGTGAAGCCTCGGGGGGGGGCGCAGTGTAGCTGCGGAGCGGTTCGCGGAGCGGTTCGCGGAGCGGTTTGCGGTTCGGCGGCGTTTCCCATGGAGTGTTCCAACAGATCCCAGAACGAAGTCCCAGAACATCCTCCTTGATATTTGCACAGCTTGGGGTTGACGACTGACCCCTCATTTTGGTACGTAGAGAGGAAATACCAACAAAGATGTTTGAACTGCTATATACAGTAATTGAACTCTGTCGATGCTTGAACACCATTTGCGAGATTATAATGATTATAACAGGAGATCCCAAGAGCAAACGGGACAAGGATTTACCATATTTACCTCATCCATTGATGAACCGTCCATGTAGGTACGGTAACTCTTGCATTCCCATGGGATTTTGGTCCTTTGTCGGTTTGGGGGTCCGGTCGAAAAACCATCCGTTGGATGCTCCCTTAATGGCGAACGAGTTCGAAGTGGCGATGAGGCGAACATTGGAGGAAAGGACCCTCCGTTCCACTCACCGCGATCGCCCCTTCCGCTTCTCTCGCCGCGTGGCGCCCACCCGCCGGCAGCGGGCGGCAGCGCTCGATGGTAATCCCGGCGTCGAGCCAAACCTTGACACCGCTGACCGCGGGCACTGGAAAGGCCTCCTGCCGGCGAAGGGGCGCGGGCTGGTATGGGGGGGGGGGGGGTGGGAGGAACGGCGGGCCCCCAACACTGGGACAGGTATGCTGGGGTCCCGCGTAACCATATGAGAAGCATCAAACCACTACCAGGAGCAAGGACGCTACTAGGGGCTCCTGGCCTTACCAATAGGAACAAGAAGCTACTAGGAACAAAGGGCAGCGTTACTATTAATCTACTAGCAAGAAGCACCAAAGGGTCGCTTTTGGAAGGTTGGAACTTCAGCTGTGGCCAGTCTCCAGGATAGGCGATGGAAAGGGCAACACATCATAGGAGCTGCCTTTGTAGTAGAGAGCCTGAGCCGTGGTCGTTGTCGGCTGCACTTTCGAAGTCAGGTCGTGGAAAAGCAGTGGACCTGTGGGCAACAACACATGTTCATATGTTGGAGAGGTCTGCAGGTCTGCAGGAAGTTCTTCCCATCTGGGGAGATAACTCCAATCTCAAAAAGCCCTACTCGTATACTCTTTGGTTCTCTTTAGACGACGACCTGAACAAACATATATAGTCCTTCTTTTGTCAACGGTGCAACGATCTGAGTCACCTGGTCACCTGTGTCCAACCTCACAGCTGATGTTGCTTCAGTAGCTGGTCAGGTCTCCAGGTGCCCAAGTTTCCAATCCTCCAACTGCGAAGGTCGGTGGTTTTAACTGTCAAACGAAAAACACTGACATTTGGTTTTCATATGATTCAATCACCCCAAGTAAAGGTTGAAAAAAAGCACTAAAACCACTCAGCCCAAGCCAAGGCACCACCGGAAAAGTTGGAAATGCTGCAAAGTTGGGATCCTTCTCCTGCGCCGCTGCGGCATCAGGGCGCCGCAGAAGGATGTAGCAAGGCGAAGGGAGCCAAAAGGACCCGCCCAAACGGGGTAAGACAGGGCTGCCCTGGGCTGCCGAGGTGCTTTTTGTTGGCATCTTCTCATCATTGGTGGCTCACTTTTAAACGCATGATTCCACCTGAAGTGTTTGTCGTCTTGGATATGGACCTCTTTTACGAAGCCTGACGCAAGTTACCCCCAAGTTAACAGAAGGAACGATTTCCACGAGGTGAGCGAAAGATCCAGGCGAGCTCGCCCTCTCACTATCCTCGACCTATCACTGCTTTGTCACAAGAGATCTCAAGGAAACCCAACGACCCGACACGAATCGCTACTAGGGGCTCGTGGCATCGCTACTAGGAGCAAGGACGTTACTAGGGGCTCCTGGCCTTGCTACCAGGAGCAATGCTCGCTACTAGGAGCAAAGGCCATCTGCGAAACAAAAAAAACACACACACACAAAAAAATAATAAACCTTGCCCGACCGACGACCACTGGGACCCCCGGGCGTAGACGTAGCGCAGGTCTCGCGATCCAATGCCCAAGGCGTAGATGATCAAATCCTTTTGGTCTCGGATCTGAAGCACCGAAGAGTGGTGGAGCCCCCCGCTTTGGATGCTTTGGTGACTTGCTTCGTGCTATCCCGGCTTCGCTGCAGGGTTTGGGAGATGGGGGGGGTCTCTTTCGGTGCGAGGGGGTCTTGCGGGGGGGGGGTCAGTCTCCCTATTTGAGCTACCAATTACATGCAGATCCAACAAATCGTTTGAACTCAACTCACATTGCCGAAACATGCATTCAACCCATTCAAAAGCTGACATTGAAACACTCAAGGGGCATCCAAACCCCCTTGGATGATCTTAAAACGCTTCAAGTGGCCGAATATGCGGTGAACAACGTAGAGGGACTTCATGTCCCCAATTATTACTGCCTTGCACAAAGGGCAAAGCACTACTCGGTGGACAAGGCACTGCTTGATTCGGACCATTTTGCACCCGGATGAAATCCCCTGCAGCGACTTGCAAATCATTGGTCGTCTACTGTGGGATCTTCATTGGTTGGCCAAACAGTCCACGAACTTCCGCCACGTGATGTCGCCCAAAGAACCGTGAGGTCGCTCCAAGAAGTACTAGGCCCAAATACAACTCCTCTGCGGTCCAGAGTGTTTGCGTGGAATTGAGGAGCAACTCCTTGGTATCAGTTGATCAGGATGAGGGCACATAGTGGATGATGTTTGAAAGGGCATATATAGGTACCCCCACTCATATGCGGAAATCGCTCACCAGCCAGGGAATCACACCTCCGATTGGCCCCCGCACCCGTGTGTTGTATTCCACCGGCTCCGACCGACGTCCTGCGCCGCGTTCGGTCCAGCCATCTTGACGAACGTAGGCTTTGAGGCTGCGACTTTTCCAACATCATGCTACATGCCTTGCTCCATCATGTGGCCAGGAGGCCTTTAATAAAGTTTGCTGATATGGTACATTCAGATAGGCAAAAAATCACCCTTCGTCCAACATCCCTTTGAGCTTCCGATGTGTTGGAAACCCTGAAAGACCTGTAGTCCTGTCGTCTACAGGAACGACCTACACCTTTCCACCCGACCTCCGACTTGCACGGACAAGACGGACCAAGACGGAGCATGGGTCGTGCGTTCCACCATGAAACACCTGGAGCCGTCCCACCATGTGCTTGACTGAAACAGGTCGGTCAACTGGTCCATCTCCCGGTGCCATGACCGGAAAAGCAAACCCACCCGTTGAACACGGCCACTTCCTGGAGGAGCACCCGCCATGGTCCGGTCCGGTCCGCTCCGGTGTGTGAGGGGCACAAAAGGCTGCGTTTGGCGGACATGCAGGGCCCCGCAATAGAAAAACATCAAACAAACCTTTATACAGTAATTGCATTGCACATCTATATATATAGTATATAGATATATATATATATAGATAATCCCCTTTGAAATTCATATGGCTACTTGGGTAGCACCATTTTATAGGTCCACGCCCCCCATGTGGGGGTCTCTATAAAATCATGCCCCCCAACTCATGCGCACGCTATAGAATCAAAGCCCCTATGTCGTGAAGTGAAAGCTCACCGAAAGTATGTATGAAGTTTTCAACACCAAAGAATCACAACCCCCATCTCACAGACCGATTCCTTATAATGCTAAGTGTGCTTGTTCTTTCATCATGAGCCTTCCACGGGAAAGTTTTTTCACCATGAGCCTTCCACGGGAAAGTTGACAGAGCACAAAGTTGAAAGAACAAAGAAAAGGTGAAAGAGCACTCAAAAAATGACTGTCACACAAAAAACACTCAAAGGTTGTTCCTCTATAGAATCATAATCAGTCAGTGACCATCAACATGTCTGCCACTAAGAAATCAAAGTCCCCATGTCACCAGTACAAAGCTCACGGAAACATAGATCTCAGGGTTCTATCACTTTAGAATCACGACCCCCAGGTCAACTAGGTCAAATTGCACCCTTGTCGGAAACTTCCCTTGGTATCTCGTGGTCTCCTTTTAGAATCAAGGAACCTGAGTGTCTCAATTCTATAGTCGCTCGGGAGTACCCAGGTAGCACTAATCTGTATAGGGGGAACTTTAAAGGGGATTATAGATATGCAAGAAACACCTGTTAGACGGGATGCTTTATAATATAATGATATATAATGAATACTTACTTGCACAATCCCAGTACATGCCAGGTTTTCTCACTGTCATCAACATGTGACTCTCTGAGCGTGCCGTGCTCCCGACCAAACGAGCCTCCAAACTGCTGAATTGAAAAGGGCAAACTACAGGGGATTGAGAGTAGATGATTGCACAAATGACCCCGAGTTTGGTGATTATGGACCCCCATCGGAGTCATCTTAGGGTCTTAGGGGTAGTTGCGCCGTCCACTCTGAAACCACTGTAAGTGCTCTTCATTTTTGCCTAGGAGACAACCTGGTTCAGGCCGATTCTCTTGAACAGGCAAAAATTTGAGCCTGGGTCCAGGTATGTACACCAAGCAACGAAGCAATGCCTGTCGTGTCTCTGAAGATCCGCTGATGCAAACACTTTGGATTGCTGGAATCCGGCTGGGGGTCTGAAACCATCGATGAGTCTCCCACGATGTCTCCCCAGCCGGTTCACCACCAGCGAGTCGCTAAAACAGGCTGTTCAAAGAACTGGTTCCTTAGGGCTCCAAGTACTTCCTCAGAAGGTATTTGGACCCCTCAAACCCACTCCAAACACCATCTGAGGAAGTATTTGGAGCCCTAGGGGTTGGAAAATTTAGGGAAAAACACCCCTCGAGCCACGAGCCCCCATGAGTGGTGACTCAGAAATGGCCGTGTCTTTTTACGGCAGACTCATAGGAGAAGCCTGGAACCTCTAATTGAATCCCATATCTAAGACAGAAAAACATGGTCTTAATTCTCCAAAAAAGGAATAATTGTCTCAACGAAGTTCTTTTTCCTTTCTGTGCCTCAGGAAGAGGCAATGCTTTCTGAGCTGTCGGATTCTCCAGCTTCGCTGGACTCTTCTGCGACCCTCCACTCCTTCTCGCCGTCTGTGGAAAAACCAGCGCTTCGGGTCAAAGACACGTAGACAGCGCCACCTGCCAGGCAAAACAGGACGTTCACGAAATAGACCATGGGCAAATTGCCCTGATTCAGGTCATTCGGCGTCCAACTCTTCGTTGCCTGGGTCAAGGCGGCTGAAATGGCGTTGGGAAGGCCACCCATGGCAAACTGGCAGAACGCTTGCATCAGGGATTTCATGGAGGGCTCTGCAGTGTAGGCCACATGCCAAAGCACTGGGTTTACCAGGACTTCACCTGCGCCAAGAATGCGGAGTGAAAAGCTCTAGGCAGGTTCCTCCTCACTACTGCATTCTTTGAACATCAACTCGTAAGTTAAGTTTCCCTAAAATCTAGGAGCCAAATCATTCTTCCAGGAAGCTTCCCTTGCCGCCTTTAGGGCAGCGGGGGGAACTTCCTGGAAGAAGCGTGAGCCATCCTGCGTCCTGTGGTAGCTATTTAAGCTACTAGCTACCTCTAGCTACTACTAAGCTACTTACCTCTACTAGCGGCCAAACCCCCCCCCCCCATTAAAAAGAATATACAAGCTGCCCACCCACCTATGCCCACCATGGCATACGGCAAAACCATCCAAAACCCGCTCATTGCGCTCATCCTTACATGCTGCCCGTCGGCAGCCAACGGAGCACAATTCGAAGGGATGGGTAAAACCTCTGCATTGCGGCGCGCATACTCCAGGCTGGCAGCCGTGAACTGTGAGCCGATGGCAATGGCTATACCTCGCCAGTCGCGCCATAAGTCAGAAGCAGCCCAGAAGTAACTACACAGTAAGACTATGTAAGACTCTTGTTTCGTCTGTTTTCCCAAGTGCCTGTCAAGACCTTCATGTTGCTGCTCACCTCCCTCCTGAGGAGCTTCTCTGCAGCAGGGACCATACATCGCTCCAGCAAAGGCGTGAAAAGGATCACCGCCAAGGCATCGCCCAGATTGAAGAAGGCTCCGCTGAGCTGCATGCCACCTCCCAGCCGCGTATCCATCTGACAGGCTTGGGAGTAGAAGAGGCTGAACATGGTGTTGTAGAGCACATTGAAAGTGACGTTACCCACAATGATCTTGGGCACGACATCCAAGCATCTCGTCACACGGTCAGGCTCGCCCAACCAGCAGTTGTCGCGGTGCGCCACACACAGGCAACCAATGCATAGCAAATCAGCCAACAGGCTCACAATCGTCAGTGAGTGTGATGGGTAGAAGACTTGCAACACGGACCTCGCTTGTTCTGGCAAGATCATGGTGACGGTTGAAGCCAGCAAACTGATTGAAATCGCATCCGTTAAAGTAAACGGACACCCCTTTCAACCCCGGTAGGGCACTCCACTGGTGGAATTTACGACTTCAAACTCTGACTTCTGCTCTTCCAGACCCATTCGACTACGTCTCTGCATTTTCTAAGACATATCATGAATCATCTGGTCTTGGTCTATAGATCGTCATTCACGAGGGGGTCCTTTCATCAATCCACAGTTCATGGGTAGTTTGGATTCACGAGGTGAGGTGGGACGTGTCACGCGAACGGAGCCAAACTCCTCACCCAGGGACAGGATGATGAGTGTAGGTAGCAGCACCCAGCCCAACAATGCCACTTTGCCCAAGACCTTCTGCCGGCCGCCTAGTAAGCGCTGCACTGTCAGCATCAGCACTGGCTCTGTGTTCTTGTCAAAGCTTTCCTTGCGGTAAAACGGCGTGCCCACGATGAACACAAGCAAAGCAATGGCCATAAGGATGGCCATGATCATGTAGGCGCAAAAGAAACCATCTTCTTTGGGAATGCCTGGCAAGCCTGCAGTGGCCACGTTTGCTAAAAATCCAAATGCAATCACCGCACCCACGCTCATGGTGACGTACAAATACATGAAGAAGGCCTCCTTCCGCCTGCCCGACTCTGCTAGGTCATCAAACTGGTCCGCCCCGAAGGTGCCGATGTTAGGTTTCACCCCACCTGTGCCGGGCGCCGTCAGCACCAGGATGCCGACCATGAAGAGCGGGATGCTCTCCATGGCGGGCGTGGCGGCGAAGGCCGTCAGCGCGCAGCCGGCCGCGTAGATGGCCGAGAAGACGAGGATGGTGGTGTAACGGCCGACATAGGTTTCAGCCAGGAGACCACCCAGGAAGCAAAAGGCAAAGGAGAGGAGCGTGAAGATCCTCCGGTCTTGGGATGGAAGTTGGAAGTAAATACCCAAGCGGTCCAGGTGGGGATTGGCCTACAGAAATTCTGGTGGACATCAAGCATCATTCCAAGCTAATCCAAGGAATGCATCAACCACTAGAAACTGCACACTATTGCTTTACACACAACTACAGCGATCAAAACGAACATATGTAGTTTAAGCATGTCCAAAGGCACATCCTGGTCATGTTTCTAGAACGACAACTGTGTATTATAAACAAATTTGCAATATACCCATGGGTCACAACTGGTGTAAATGTAACTCTTCCTGTCCCATGGATGGTCTGGGAATGTCTGGGATATTTACAATACAACATGTATTGCGCCGTCCAAGTCGCCTCTTATGAAGAACAATGATCCGTCCCCAAATGGAGAGTTGTTAAAAAAGATGCATGTCAAAGTGGATGGCCATCCCCTTTCACTTCAACATGAACTCATGTTCGTCAAAGGATCTGATGCACTGAACTGCTATCGGCGTTGGTGAAGCCTTGATCCTGAAGCCAGGACTTCATGGTGCTTACCAACGTGTTCAAGCCCACACTCCAGCATAATTCAATCACCACGATACACACGACAGCTAGAGCCATGGCAGTCACTGGGTGCAAGAAATGCAATAACTGTGACATCTGAAAATCATCCGACGCGTAGGAGGCCATTAAGGGAGTTAGAAGCACTTGGAATTGCTGTATGTGTTCTACAAGTGTCGCGGTCCTTTTTGGACGCAGTGATCCTCTCATCTTGCAAGTCGTGCAAACTCTATATAAGCACAGCCCAAAGCTGCAAGACATGCACCTGCTGAATTGAAACAACCCTATATAAGACACCCTGTCGTTTTTGGCGCGAGGAGCATAATTTCAATAATACTCCCCAAATCTGGTATGGTAGGATATCCACGGGCTTTCCAATCCAAGTGGTTCAGCAAGCACGGTGTACATTGCTGAATTTGCACGTAAGTGCCGCAGAATGCAGCAATTGCAGCAAGATTCCGAAGTCAAACCACATGGCAAAGCCCCGCAGGTCAAGCATCAACAGTCTGGAAGGAAGAACAGTGAGAGGTGAGAGGAACATTTCTATGAACTGACTCCCTAAGTTTCCCTGGAGTGGGGCATCCCCTCCTTGAGTGGGGCAAACCATTCAACCCAAAACGGTTTTGCAAGAAGATCTACGTATAAAGTGTGATACTTGTCCTACATAGATGCATATGTATCATTTGAGGACTCTCATGAGCAAGACTTGCTTCATCCACCCATGCAACCCATGCATCATGTCCGCTGCGTCCCGCATCCAACGCCTTCTTTGGAAACGCAGGTCGTTGCGCCAACGTCAACGATTTTCACTCACGTACCTGGCGCAGAATTCGGCCGGTTTTTTCCTGCGGAGCAAAACAAAGTTCTGCTTTCATGGCTTGCCGGCTTGCCTCAAAAAATGAAACTTTGACTTGTATGAGTCGATTTTCAAAATGAACATCCATGAACATCCTAGTTTAGGGTCGATGTGTCTATCATTTTTGGAAACAGATTAAAACAACTTAGATAGAGGTGGTTTTCAATCAACCAACAGGAAGCACTTTTTCTCATGACTGGCAGGTCGTGGGCTTTTGGACCTCCAATACTCTCAGAGGCTTTGACCTTCCCGCTAAGGACACATCCACGTGAACCCCCATGCGGGTTCCAAGAAATCGCTGCAAGTTCCAACCAATCGAGTTCCGAAATGGGTTACCTTCATGTACGGTCCTGCAGGTCCACAACGGCTCGTCACCGTTTGCGAAAAAGCTGCACCGGCTCGTCACGGTTTCACCGACGTCGCCTGGGGAAGAGATCCGCCGTGATCTTCGGCGCAGTCCATCCCAACTCGCGCAGCTGCTGCGAGAGCCTCGGCGAGCAATTGAACAAAAGCCCTGGCAAGCCCTGACTGAACCAAACACTCCGGACTCCGAGAATCCAAGGACGTGAAGGCTTTATACCTAGAATCCAAGGGTGTGAAGGCTTTGTACTATATTATGTGAGGGGACTTGTTGAAACTGGCTACTCAAGCAAGATACGGCAAGACACGCAGCCGCCCTGTCCAAGTCAAAAACTCGAACACACAAGACACGCAGCCACCCTGAGCCACCCTGTCACACGCCCCACAAGTCCAACAAAGGTGCCAGGTGGCTGGTTCAGCCTCTTTGCATTCACGCCCAGATCCAAATATCCCACCCGACTGGCCGAGCGCACGAAGACCTCGCCCGACTCGGAATCCTTGGGTGTCCTGAGAGGAAACAAAGGGCGAGGTCTTGTTGTGGAGAAGGAGCTAACGCATTCTAAACATTCAATAACATTCATAAGATCTACAGTATTGGATACAGGAAAACCATGGTAGACCATGCTAGACCTGTAGACCACGGAACGAGAAGATTCATGATCCATCATGATCCCATTGCCATCATAGTCCATACCTCGTACACGGTGCAGCATTCATGCCTTTCTAGACAAACGCAAACGTAGGTGCCACAGCACATCTTTACCACAAACCTTCATCTTCCCGCCGTGGACCTTCCTTTTGCGGGGAAACACACAACAAGGGACTCAGTACAACAGAACACTTCATGATACCTCAGGCACTTCCAACTGCAACATAGATTCTGCTTGATTCTCCTTGCCCGAAACAGCAAACCTTGACACTAAGCCAAGCTGCACACGGAACTCCACGTCATCGATGTAACCACGTTTCAAGGATTCAAACTGAACCTCGGGAGCACCCAAAAATGTCACAATTCCAGACACCGGACAAAGGAAGAACACCCCCAAACTGGGGTTCCCACATAGGCATAGCCCTTCTCTGCGTCCAGGGTTTGAATCTCAAATCCACCTGACTTGACAAGCAGTGTGAAGTGGGTGAATCACCCTCGAATTCCACGAAAAGAAGTACAACCGAACGCATTCGAACTCAAACAGATCTCGCAAACCGGAGCCGCCGGGTCACCCGTTCCACCCTCCGACCGGACCGACCGCGTCGCATCTCGGATCCACTGTTTCCACCGGAACCGAAGCCACCGGACACTGGAAAACGGGGCCGAACAGTTGGTCGGACGATGCTGTTGGTTCAGTCCAATCAGTTGGTTCGGAATGCTTTCTGAATTGCCATGTCGAAATAACATCTTGATGGGGGCTCCCATCAAGGACCACGTTGGTGTCACCCCGGAATATAAGTTAAGGAGCCCCCATGAGCCCCCGTTTATCTTGTAAAGCCTGGGTTACAAATGGCAACAAATAGCCATGGGCGCCCATGGGATATGACATGATATGACTGCTCTTATGTATAGAGGCGTACCTCCTGGAAGTGACAAATGGATACAACTGGCAGTCCTGCACTATCCCTGGAGTCTGCAGCAGCAATATCCTCGAACTAGGTACCATACTCGTGACATGGCTGGGCGAACCCGGGTCATCCCAAAACCCTGATCGTCGCCTCCATCGATGTCCTGCTGTCCAACCGGGTAGGATTTCAAGGCTTTCTCCTGAGAGTTGCAAAGTTGATAGATTTGGCATGTCCATCTTATAATCTTATACTCTTGTACTCAATCATTATCAAGTGAGTCCAGTGAAACCTGCAACGATGGAGAAAGAAAAACGGCCATCGAATAAATCATACTTGACCGCATGATGACCAAGCGGGCAAAAACCTCAAGAATGTGGTGAACACCATTCTCACCTTTCTATCTACTAAGTGGATCGGCCACGTCGCCGTTGGTTGGTAATCATGTATACGCAGTTTTGTGTACATCATTGTACATCCAGTTGAAAGCAAAATCCTGAAAAAAGAATACATTGTTCAACACTGGCTGTTGTCCCAGCTTTCTTCTTGCGCTGGTGCAAGTATCTTTTCCTCTTAGATCAGATCACAAGGGGAACGCGACTCTCACACGAGGTCGCTGGATTCACGCTGCATCTCCGAGACAAGGAACCATTCAACCCCAGCACAATGCAAACAAAACTGGCAAATTGACTGATCAGGTGACTCACGTGTGGTGGTTGCTTGATTTCGTTGGGTCCAGAGTCCATGTTTCTTGTGTCTGGGAGATGCTTTGACACATGACCCAGGCCACTCATATATGGAACTGTCATAAGAAAGGGGGTAAATGATGTAATGACAGACCCAGGCCATCATGGATGGTCAATACATCTAGACCCAGGTCATCCATCGTAAATATGTCATTGATTGATATTCCTTAAAGTCCCATGAATGGGCTCGGCAAGTCGATCGATGTGATCTTTTTCATCCGAAGGCCAGTGATCCAACGGTCCAAACGCTGTTCGAAGGGATTAATTTAAGGACCAAACACTGCCCATCATGGCCCATCTACGTTCACTTTCGAAGTCTCACAAACAACTTATCAAACAACTGTTGGGCACTCTTCTTCCGTGCCCAACAGTCTTTCTGCTACGAGTAGTAGGAGCAAAGGGCATCGCTCCTAGGAGCAAGGACACTACTAGGGGCTCCTGGCATCGCTACTAGGAACAAGGACGCCATAGGAAAAAAGCTGTCTTTCCGCTCCACGATGGCCAATCATCCGTTTCTGCGAAGCTTCCAAGTCTCTCATGGCCCGCGCTTGCCCTCCAGATGGATAGGCCCAAGGTCTCGGCTGCGAACCAGTTGTCCAAACACAAAAAAGATGCAAACATACTGTACGAGTACTTGTGTTGACAAACTCATTGAGGTATAAAAATGCAACTGCCTTCACCTGCTTTGCAGAACCACCACCGCATGGAATTCTTTCGACAGCGATTTCCCACTCCAGAGCTCCGAAAAGTCCTTTGCTGTGGTCCTTTGCCTCAAGAGTCTGGTTGCGGAGTGGTCTCCCCGTTTGATGATCTGGCAACCTCCACCAACCGCTGACCCTTGGAATATCTGCCTGTCACCCTGCAGCGAAATATCAACCAAAAATTGAGCGTCTTACTCATCTGCATGTCTTTCATCACCCAAACACTGCTCCACAAAAGCAAACACATCTTCAGTGACCAGTATTCATTTCCTGCCCCGAACATCGTTCTAGCCCAGCCGCTTCAGGTAATGGTCCTCCTAAGATGCAAAAGCTGGATAATGAATGATAATGAATGTCTCAGAACATGTCTCACAGCATTTTCAACTCATGGGCCCATCTGCTTCAGCAAATGTGGTCTGCCCAGGCAGTTTGCCTGCTGAGCGGAAGTAGGGCTAGGATTCCAAATGATCTGGTTCACACATTGGAACTTCACAAGGCAACATCATCTTTCGGGAACTCCTTATATATCCGTCCTCAGCGAGACTCATCACTGTTTTTCACTCTTGAAACGTGGTTTTGATCTAGAGAGGAGAACTCTTTAGATTCTTTAGTGGCAAGAACGGAACTTCTGGAATTATTTCTGCCAACATGGACAAGGTCTCCACCTACCCGCTCAGAAGTAAGACTGGGGTATCTCTCAACTACGGTGCTTTTGGGAAGGACTTGTGTCCAATTCTACACATCGTGGGCTAGCCTTTAGCATTTGGCTGAGCATCATCTGCGGCCGCTGAAGAGAAGCCTTAGGCGGCTGAGATGGGCTTGGCAACGGAAACCATTGGCAAGATCCTAGCGAGAAAGGAAAGAAACAAATGTAATGTAGACATGTAGACTCTTGATTGATAACCTCCCCCAATTGAATTGAACAACCTCTTTATAAGTGGTGCTAATCAAGAGTCTACATTGAAGGACATCCTGCCAGTTCGCAAGATTCGTCCATGACTTCGTTTGGAATGGAAATCTGCTTTGACAACTGACTGCATGGTGAGTAATTAGTCCGTGTAAGTGACATGGTTTTGTGCAATTAGCACGTTTGCTTCCCTGTTTTTTTCCAGTCAATGTTGACAGTTGATGAATAAACAACACCACCTATAGATGATCCTAGATTGCAAGAATCAAACAATTGGACTGTCTGCATATGTGGGGATCTGTGGAAGGTTTTCTTGATCAACCATCAACATTCCCCAAGAAAACATGGCACTTGCACCCTGCCCTCACTGACCGAGTGTCCCGACTCAGTCGAGTCGCAGTTGGGCGCAGCACCGCAGCCCGCGATCTGCCCCTGGCCCACACCTGGCACCACATTTGCCAAACTTAGACTACGCAGTGCAAATCTAGGTCTAGGTTTTTACCCAGACACTGCATGGGACTGCCATATATGCTTACATTGGGGTGGTTGAAAAGGGGTCAATGTAAATTATGGTAGTCCAATTAGTCGTGTCGTGCGGTCATTTCGGTGGACTGACCACGTCGGGAGAAAGAACGGGTCAAAGGATCCGTCGATCCGTCGCGCGGTTCGATGAGAGGAGAGCTCGAAAAAGAGCTCTGCATGGGACCATCATCGACCTGGGCAGGGGTTCCTAGAGACCCTGTCATGCCGGGGTGCCGCTTTTTGCTGGAATACAATGTATACTTGGAGTCTTTGGGTGGAGGATTCACTTTTACCTTGAGCCCCCAGTCTCTAAGTGATTGCAAGGCTCTGATTTTCCTCTTATGCCTGTGTCCACCCAGCGGGCCATGTTTGGAAGATGATTGAAGATGCATGCAAAGCACACTTGAAATCGTTCACATGCACCTAGCGTAGGTGCAAGTAAGAGACCAAAAAAACATCCAGTGCATGATACCATATCGTTACAAGACGCTCCCTGAAATCATCTGTTTGGTCTTCGAGCGAAACGACTTCTGTTTGGTCTTCATCCTTTCGAGGCCATGCCATCCACGGCCAGGCCCCTGATGAAGGCAGGGCAGTGTGTGGTTAAAACTCAGCCGTCTTCGAACTGGCCCAACCAGTCTCGCCTGCTGGTTTGGGCCCAGGAGTCTTTGGACCTTTCACTTCCTGCGGGTTTGGGCGATCAAAACTGCCGTCCGGAGGCGAGCGTCTAACCATTCGTTGGAGTCGAATCTTCTGGATGCTTCTGCAGGCGGCAGTAGCGTAAGTAAAGCATAGCCCTGAAGATCCCTGGGCGACTGCAGTGATGCACTGCCATTCCGACATGCCAGAGTGATTTTGAGTCTACTCTACGCGACCACCCGGGAGGTCAGGTATGTCTCTCCACAGAACATATACTAAAATTTGATACAATTGGTATGGCTTTGCTGGTGCACAAATGGGGAATGGCTACCCGACGATTTGTCTACTGGACACGCTCGAGGTTCACAGACTTTGTTGTTGAATCGATGTTTGGTTTTTGGACCCGACTCGTGGAGATGAACATCAAAAGCCTTATACCACCCGACTCTATACAGGTCTCCTCTGGTGGTATTTGGAGACTTCAAAGTCGCAAGTGGCGACCTGTGAAGTCGGGTGCTGGTATAGAACCCCTCTATCTTTTTCGACGCATTTGTTCATCTTCGACTCTTTGTGCAAGAGGTTGAGTCCGAGTCGCAGTTTATGAAGGCTAAATGGTAGCAAAAATACCTTCCACAAAGTTCTGCGAAGGTTTCTGGAATTTCGTTGCAGTCAGTTCTCCTACTGGCCCACCATTCCACGAACTGTCCTCGAATAGCCTTGGGTTCTACGAATGTCCCACGCCTTCCACGACGTTAGTAGAATAGGTTTTCGCAAAACCCTTTCTGTGCACTACCCTTCCGTTTGCCTCTGAGTTTAGGGGAGCCACCATGATCTCCCCACCCCAAGTTTACCAATATTTACCACTGCTCCCACCCCAACCTTCACGCGATTCTCGAAGGCATGCGCCTGGGCTGGCTGAGCGACAAGCCGTCATTCCGTGCGTGACGTACGTATGTGCCGCGTCCAAGCCACGCGTGATGTGGCGTTGCTCGCGGCGCGACGCGATGCTCACGCGTTCAACGCGTTCGACGTTCGACCAAGTCACAGGGCTGTTGCTGGCCCCCAGCATCAGCGCCAGCAGCGACCGGCGAGGTGGACTGAGCCAAAGCCTGACCCCAAGATGGACTGGCATAGCGAGCTAGACATTGGGATACATTGGGGTCATTTGACCTGGGGTCAACCAGGAATGTGTACGGAGCATACATGGCCATTCATGGCCATTCCACGTACAACGGGTTGACTGGTTGACCTAGGACCTAGGTGCATATGTCCCAAACAGGTTGTCTGAGCGGCAGGCTCGACCAGTCAAGTTTGGGTCTTGGACAGTTTCAAGAAATCTTCGACCAATCAAACAGATCTGAAGATGACCATGATATACCACGATGATCATGCCCACTGTCAACCCGATCCACTTATTTATTTATGATGACCATGCCACTTTCGCACTGTGAACCATACCCAAATCAAAGTGTCAACCTTTGCACTTCGAATAATAGTTCAGTTTGTGTCACCACAAGAGTTGGGAGAAGGGTCACCATGCGGTGCAGAAAAGGAAAAAGGGTCTGCCCGAGTCTGCCACAGGGTGACCCTGGGGCAATAATTCCAGACCAAGCGAATGGATGGGGCAGAAATTGTGCAAACGCATCTAACTCTTCCAGACTTTTTCAAGTCCCATTTGTTTGGTCTGGGGATGAAGAGACGGTTGCCTCCCAGGAAGGTCACTTGGACACCCTGTAGCTGGCCCCTTTTTTCCCCACTGACTTCGAGCACCGCGTTGATCCGTACACAGACCATCGACACCCAAACCCCAAAACCGAGACCTGTGCCGGGGTGCCTGGTGTGGTCCACGCGAACAGCACCCCAGAGGGGGTAGCAGGAGTCGTGACTGGTCCGACCACCCTGGTAGCGCCTGGTAGTCTGAAGGCCACACATGAGGCTCAGCAAAAGCATCCATCTGACCCTGCAGCACGGAAAGGATATAGAAATATATCGAAAACATATAGGGAGACCGACACCGCTCATATAGGGTTTGGGGCCTGGGGGGTAGGCACATCCATTGGGTCCAGTAGAGGCTGCTGGTCATGTTCTTAGATCAAGTCCTGGATGATCCTAGAATGCCAGTCCAAAAACCAACGAGGGATGAAAACAGTATCTCTGAGAGTCTACCCTGCACACCTCCAAGCAGGACCTGCCTTTGTTTGGCTTCATGTCACAATGTTCTAGCCTTCTCTGAAGATTTCATATAAGGGCCACAGCAGTGCTACGAATCTGTATAAGATTATATCAGCATTTCACAAGTCTATTGATGAGATGTAGAAGTACTACTGTAATCCCCAAACTCGAACATCGCACAGTGTCTGAAACCGTCTCCGACCGTCTCCGACTGTCTGCCTCAACCCACGCATCCGCCCAGCACCAGCAGTCGCAGGTCGTTTGTGGCTTGCCTGGCCGAGGTTGGATGATGCATGGTTAGACAAACAGCATCTTAGTCAGTTTGAGCGTGGTAAAGTTGACAGGTGCAAGATTGACAACCGATCACTGGTTGTGCAACATGCCTGACGAACAATCTCAGCTCCATTGCTTGGATTCTTGTGGAGTAGGAGTGGATGATAATGGCTAGTGCGGTCAGTTGAGAACTTGTCTTTGTTCCGAACATTTCACTGACACTTCTTGCGAATAGGACAGATCCAATCCCTTGCAGTGGTATGCCTATCACCTACCACCAACCAGAAGTGAACGTGAACCTGGGTAAAGGCTACAAGTCTATGCGAACTCAGAACCCCACAAAAGGTTGGAGGCCATCACTAGTAGGTTGGAGGCCATCGCTTCTAGGTTGAAGGCCATCACTAGTCACGTTCCAAGGTCTTCAATTGCCAAGGTCTTCAAGCACCAGCTTCGCCGTACAGACGGGGGAGTGGGCCTCCCATACGGATGCCCGCATGATCCCTGCCTCCATGGCCATGTCTGCAGGAATTGCTGTGGTGTTCTGTCACAATTGACTTTTTACATGGTTCAAACAATCGAATAAATGCTTTGCACCAGTGAATGGGCGCTCAGTTCTTTGTGGCAAGGTCTGCCCATCACCATGCAGGTGTGTTACACTGTGAGTGACCGCAGTTTTTTCGGGTCATGGGTCCACCGACCTCAGCGTAATCACCTATTGATTCTGTATAAGATCTTCATATCTTGATTGTAATGCTGCCCATGCATGGTCTTGCCAATGTAATTGAGAGTGAAACCGACCATAACATATAATGGTTTGCCGGTTCGTTACATTCCTGGTGCCTCCGCCAAGACCCAGCACCGCGGCGAAGCGAGCAACTCGAAACGCACCACCTTATAAGTGGCACAAACTTCGTACAAACCATTCAAGAAAAAGATAGAGAGAGAGAGAGACAGAGGCAAACATCATTCGTTCCAAAGAGTTTGACCAGCAATAGTGATACTAAACAAAGCAATAGCTCCTAGACTAATCATAATAATATAATATCACTGCTTCTGGCATAGAGTCGAGTCTTGTTTATGTGTGGACCAATGGGAGCAAGCATGGTCCAAAATGGTCGGCTGGCGTCTGGTCGGCCAGTCCCTCCTCCCATCAAAATACGTCATGTGCAAAATGTGTTTAAAATATTTTAAGATGTCATGTCGTGTGCAATTCTGACATCCCGATCCGAGTAGAGAGAAATTGAAATGCAGTTCACATCGTTTCACCTACTGATCAGTGGTCTTGGAAACGTGCTTCTTTTTGGCTAAGTGCTTCAGTCGTATACGTCACCGCCATCCGCGAGCCTCCCTTTTTGTTTCGATCTCTTCGATCTATTTTCCCCAGCCGCCCTTCATGCCAAACGCCTGCGAGCTCGGATCTTGTTCGTTCACACACCGCGGTTGGTGAAGACGACGGGACGGGACGGGTCGGGAAGACTGGATGGACCACCTGGTCGGGAAGGCTGAAGGCGACAGCACCCAGCTGGGTGCTGTTGGAATTGGGTCCTGGCTGTTCCTGATTCCCATCCGACCACGTGAGCGAGCCGGGACACTCACGAAACACATTGTGGGACACTCACGAAACAGGAGCCTTCGCCCGCCACACCTGCAAAGACATGTGGGACACTCCATGTCAGTCCCCTTTCTTGGGTGTGTCTTCGTTTCAACATGATTGAACTTCAACATGCAGAACGCAGATTCCCTAGCGATCCAAGGACCTTCTCAGGTTTGGGTACGACTGGACCCTCCTGGCACCTACATCACGTGTCTCCAATCACCTTCTCAAAGGGTGTGTGGGTCCCTAGGGATTACTAGCTTGAAACATCGAGATCTTGGATGCCCCGGAACCCCCACGGTCCAACCCGTGATCGGTTTCTCGCGGCCTGGCCGGGCATTCCCTTGCCCTGCATGGGCGGACCTGGGGGAGGGGCATTCCATTGAGCAAAGGATGGGTTCGGGGGTGAGCTCACTCTGCCCCGAAAGTCTGGAAGGACCCAGAATCCGAAGACCCAGAATCGAGGTGCTGAACTCCACTTCCTCCGGACCCTCCAATGCAAGGGCTGACAAAAAGGGTTCCGAAGAAAACGCTGTCCAAAAAGGTCCGTCCCTCTGCTGTGGAGGCTCTAAGGATTGTTTGACTAGTGGAACTTGGGAAGTAGAACTTTTCAAGTGGGGCATCCAATTAAATACCTCTTAGGCATGATAGACCCTGGGCTCCAAAGACCTTCTAAGAAGGTGGGACTGGGGTGGGTGCCATGAGGGTCTCAATCAATACCTTCTGAGGTGGCTGGTGGAGAGGCGGAATCTAAGCCAGCTGGAGGCCACATGATCCCTTTCAACACAGGTTCTTTTGTTTTGGGGTACGCGGGAATAGAGAGGATGAAATGGATCAAGCATGCCATAACTATAGTCAGTTGTAGTCTTAGTGCTGTTTCGTGCTCACTGCCCATGAATCCCATGGCTTTACAGCGAGACCCTCACAACTCCTCGCCCACCACGGCTGTAACTTCCTGCCACACGGCTGTCACTCAGGTTTTTTGGGTCGTCCCGGAAAGCGCTTTCCGAGCATGGCAGGTGCGAGATCGATCTGATGGAACTGTGTTCCATCATGTTCCCTCGCCCAGAACGACAAATGATCTGGTGTGGCAGATCCCAAGATATTCGGCAGGCAAAGTGATGTTGAACAAAAAAAATAGCTATTTTCCATATAGTTTGCATGTTAAACTCCCGGAAATCAAACATGTGATAATGTTTGCTAGCTTGGCCTTCTTAACAGATTCTTAACAGTTCTTGTATACTGTTACTGGAGAGTAAGTATCGTTCCACCCTAGTTTGGTGGTGAATACTTTGCGATGGCTTCACTAGTAACTTAACCCACAGGACTAGCTGGGAATCCTGCAAGACATGCCAAACATCCTGGGACCTGTCGAGTCTGGTTTCAGCCAGTGTAGTCTCGGGCAGTTCGTCTGGCACCACTAGGGTGGGTGAGGTGCGGGCATGGCCGACCCCGCCTGGTCGAAGCTCCATTCGGCAAGGCTGCTTGGTCGAACGCCAAACAAGAAAGCACTAAAGGCTTCCAACATCTTCCAACCCTCTGTGTTCTTCAGGCTGCTTCAGGCGGGTTCGGCATCAGTTCATCCAGTCACTCCACAGTGCCAAGTCCTTTCTTATCATTCTTAATTGCCGTACACAAACACTCCATGATATATGGAATACGTATATAGTTACTATATATATATAATCTATAATAATCTATATACATGCCATTACATGACATCATACTTCTGCCCGATTTACGACCCTAATCTTAGGTAACAGTTCCAGTCCCCCATGGATGGTCTGGGTTTAGATCTTCTTTCGTCACTTGCTTCTTTGAGGCTGTTGACCCTCGTCACTCAGCTAGCAGCTAGTGGCCTGCCAGGCTGCGAATCCAGCCTCGGTGGCGAGTCTGGTCGAGGTGACCCATCCACTTAAGTTCAGATGTGAAGAGATCGATCGGTAAGGGAATTGAAGCATCACTCACAACAACGAAGCATCTATGTGATAGTCTGGTTGGATCTGAGAGTGAGCGATTTCTACAATGAATCACCACCCTCCTGTCTTCTCTATTCTTCACTTCGCCCCGCAAAGCTCCTCCTCCAAACAACTATCAACTCAGCTTCTGCTAACTCCCCAACCACCTAAGCTTCACCGAGCGTCCACTTGTGCAGCCAGACCGGCCAACAAAAGCCGGGAAGGCGCCAAGAAGGTCAGCGCCTTGGTCGTCAGTTGGGGATGTCTGACACAGAATGGATTGCTGAATAACAGATTTGGAATTCATCTTTTATAGTTGTCCTTAATCCAACAACCGCACCTTGGAATTTGTATGAATTTGTCCCACAAGTCATGAGAACGGCTCTGATAGATGTTTCCGCCGCTTCTCGCGCGTACGTTCTCTCGAATAGCACACAACAGACTTATTATAACAAGAAAACGTTCCAAGACCCTTGACCACCACTCTGTAGGATGCATTGTCGCAAAATGTGTCTCTGGATGGCTGGTGCTGGCTCTGGATGGCTGGTGATGGCTCAATTTGAAGGTCCCCAGCGGCCCAGCGCCCACCGAAAAGGCGGAAGCCAAGACGCCGCCAGGCCGCAGCTGGCCGCCACGTTGATGCCGCACACGCCCTTCAATACCCGCTCGTGCCCCAGGCGAGCCTAGAGCCGGGCCAAACTGGAGGTGGAAAGAACTTGGGCCATCTGGGAGCTGTGGAGGGGATCCTGACTCCCAAGCCGTCAATGGAAGTACGACAAGTTCTGAACTGAACGACTCACTAAGGTACGACGCGCCGAACCGGGTTGTAGTGGTACCGATCGTACCGTCGCCCTGAGACGACTCGGTACGACGGGATCCCGATCCCTACGGCTCCAGTCGTACCTCCTCCGGTCGACCCTCCTGGCACCCACCCCAGTCTCACCTTCGAAACGAAGGCCCTAGAGCACGCCTCGCCTTATCCTAGGGCTCCAAGTACCTCCCCAGGTATTTGGACCCTCTAAACCCACCCAGTCCCACGTTCGAAACGAAGGTCCGACTGGAGCCCTAGGCTTAGGGTCTAAACGTCTATAACCCACCGGCGTCATCGGGTCAGCGCTTCACCGAGCTGTGTCGCCTTGAGCGGCTCGTGCAGCAGCAGCGTGCCCCAAAGCGTGGTGAGCACTCCGAGCGGCCCTGGGCGGGGCGGCTCCCACGCCGAGGCCCGAGGCTTCCGGTTTTCCGGGTTGAAGGCAGCTCCTATAGGTACCGAAGAAGGGTTCCGGGATGTGCTTGAACATGCCTGAACACGAGGCGCGACCGAATTCAACTAGGATGTCTTTGAACATGAGGTCACCCATTCAATCATTCATGAGCTCATGGGATCTCACGGGTGCATGGGCCCCAAAAAAGTGGCCGGACTCCGGACCCTTGTTTTTGGGGTCCGGACCAGTGTTGACGTCCAAGCTGCGCAAGGCCTGCGATGGAATCGGCCAGAGGTGCTTTTCCAGGATCGGAGGCTTCAGAATCAGCAAAGGGCCTGGCGGTGAGCCCAAGCCAATAGGCCCGGTGTTCGAGGGTTGAAGAGGTGAAAAGGTGATTTAAACTTTGATGAACAATACTATATAGATCATACATGATCATACTAGATCAAGGGGCAAGTGGTGGTATAAGGGGATCAACCATGCCCAAACAGGGTCTCGGGATACTAGCGCTGGGGTTTAGTCACCCAGGTTTGCAGAAAGTCACCCGGCCGCATGGAAACGCGGCATTAGTCAAAAGTCACCTGGCTCGCGAAAAGTCACCCGTTTTATGTCAAAACACAATGTAAACGCTCTACGGAAGTATTTTTGTCAAAACTGCTATACATGAAGAATTCACTGCCCCTGTGCAGGAAAGAACTAGTTTTATGTCGAAGTTTGCAGCGTTTTGGTGACCGAACCCCAATCAGAACGCAAGGTTAGGACTATCGTGAAGATTACCCCCTAAACATAGATGCAGCATGCTGCCCTGCTTGCTTTGCTCTTCAAGAGCTGTGCATTGATGACCTTCGTGTGGAAAAGATCACTAAAGGAAACATGGTGAGGCTGGCGCGAGTGCCACGCGAGTCTTTTCGACCCTGTCGCGAGTGCCGCGCGAGTCCCATGCACCCATGTACCCACGGCCCATGTACTCACGCCCCATGTACCCAAACAATGGTGTTGAACTGACGCTCCAAAGCTTATCTTCCAATGAGGGTGACATCTTGCATCTAACCCCAATGGAAACGCAGCATCCAAACAATGTTGTTGACCTAATGCTCTTCCAGTTATATTGCCATCTTGCATCTAACCCCAATGGAAACGCAACATCCAGACGACTTTCTGCAAGACCAGACGACTTAACACAAGCGCTTGTAGGAAAAAGCTCCGCAAGCTCCGGAGAAACAACAGACCCAACGGTTGACCCCATGGAGGTGACACGCTGGAAATGGAGGTGACACGCTGGGCCTGAATTTTGGGCACTCGATGAAACATGTGGAAACCAAGCAAATCATCCAAAGAGCAGGGGTGTCTGACTGATGCGCTTGCCAAATGATGGACAGCTTTCAGCTGAGGGTCTAGCATGCAATTCTTCACATTCACATCCTCATTCTAAAGCTTGAATTCTTCACATCAAGTGAAGACCTTGGAAAGTGAAGGCTTCCCAAATTCAAGGCCTTGTCGTTTATATGCTCTGAACTCCGATTCTGACTCCCTCAGTTCTCCCGAAAGAAAAAAGGTGAACCTTTTCCCATCTGTTCATATGTAGTGAGGAAACCAATCCCTCAAAGGGGTTTGCAGGTTGTCCACTCACTTGGTAGGCCATCAGATTGCTGACTTCATCCCTGCCTAGTGTGGCGCACCAGTAGCCATCGGCCACCAAAGCTCTTTCACCCGGAATCTCCATCGGGCTCGCGGTGACACTGGTGGCAACGCGGTGACACTGGTGGATGAGCCAATGTGTGGTCTGCTCCATTGGATGCTTCTGCCATGCCAACTATAAAAGTGCGGTAAACAGGGGAAAGTTCTGACTTCATGGTACTATCTTTGAGTTTTCGGTGTGAACGTTCTGACTTCATGGTACTGTCTTGGAGTTTTCGGTGTGAACTTGCCAAGGTGCAAATCCATGCATCTCCTGTGTGAAAACAGCCTCTCGGACCTTGGCTCAAGTTCCCAGCTGTCATCTTGGTACAAAAGGGTGTGAATGTCTACAGGGGGATCCCCTTTCTCGCCCCTTTCTCGCCAGGCTACACTGGTCTATGAATCCAAAACCGAACCCAGGGAAGGTCGGAATGCCTGGAAGGTCTCCTCCATTCTGGGAGGTCTCCCCAAATGAATTGCTGTTTACCATGGACCGTGCTTGGCAACTCGCGTTCATCTCGCTGACGACTCGCGTTCATCTCACTGTTTTGCTGTTCATCTGCGCATGGTCTTCGATACAGGAGATAAGCAGCGAGGACAACCACGCAACATGAATCGCCGTTCGGCACCTCACAAAGTTGTCATGTTCTTTATATCTCAATCCCATGTCAGGGGCAGCTGCCCAATTCCCATAGCCATAGCCAAATAAGTATGCATGAACTCCAAAACTGCTCACATCAGCCAAGACCAGGACTGGCTGTGGGTCCAGACCCGGGAGCCCGGAGACTTGCGGGGTAGGTTTCTCCCTCCCGGGTAGTCTATGTAATATTTAGCACGGTCAACCCGTCGGTCCTCCAGCTTTCATCCATAGCCAGTTGGCATGAGGAAACACCGAATACGCTGGAAGAACATCACTGAGGCACCCGAACAGCGCATGAATTGCGAAGCACCTGGCGGTTTTTTCAAGCCAGGTGAACACAAACCAAACGCACTCCTTCAACAGCAATTTTGTCCAGATGTTTGGATCAACCATGGAAGTGGGAAAACCACCTATTGAACATGGTCACCCAAGGGCCATCTTCCACTTCTGATTTTTATTTTTATTTCGGAGAGAGTAGAGATTTGTCTTGCCAATTTTTTTGGTATCATGCACAACTAAGACTTCTGATTGTCCGCTTTTGTTTCCTGGCAGGGTGCTAGAATTCATCTGCCCCCTAAAGTTCCCCATATTCCCCTTGTTCACTCTCATCCAGCAACACCCATCTGTATTTTCTTGGTGTGCTAAGATGTTGTCATGACGCCCACAAAAAGAAAACACTCCCAGTTATATATAGTTATAACTAATGCAACCACTTCGGTGCTTGGTGAATCTTGGTCATGGTCAGGCCCAAGTTTCGCCATTTCTCGGTCACGTTCTGCCGAAATCTCGGTCACACTCCATGTTTATCTATATATTATATACATTGGGGTGGTTGACTTCAGGGTGACTGTGTCTAAATCTGCCAGTCCCAGTCCCAGGTCGTGTCTGGGAACGGAAAACAACAACGACAACAGGGACAGCAACCACAACCACAACAACCACAACCACAAAAACAAAACACACACACACTAAAAAATAAAATTAAAAGCAACAACAACAACAACAACACACCCCAAAAATATAGCGCTCCGTCTTCCACCTCTTCGTCGTCCTCCCTGCCCGTGGTCCTTGTCCGACCCGTTGGACGGCCGCGCCCCGCCTGTCGGTTGCAGGTCGAAGGCCTGAGGCTTCATGTCCTCGCGAAGCCGAGCACGTTTGTCTCGGCTGTGCAGTAAGTGTCAGGGCACGGAGCATCGGCTGTGTACCGGCCGGTCGCAGGGACTCTAAAAGGAGGGAAAAAACGAGCAATGTAAGGTGCCGTATTTTTTTTTGTCACGTACGTATACTTATAGTCACGTATAAATACTTAGTCGTATATGTTTGCTTTTGGGGGGGCTGGTTTGGGGGTTGCATCTATGAGCCTGTAAATGATGCATAGTGATGAATCATCCATCGGAGGTTCTGATTACATCCAAATTGGCGCGAAAGATCAATCGCAACACTTCTCACACTGTTCCGGTTCAAACAGATCCTATGTTCTGCGCTAGTTTGTGGCAGAACAATTTCTCCTGACTCAGGGATTCCACTGACAGGCTTGACAAAACCCAGCCTCAAGTGCCCATGACAGTGGTAGCTTGCTTGATAGAATCTGCTGTGATTGAAGTTGCAATACACTATGTAATATAGCCATTGGTAATCCCCTTCTATACTTGGCTTCTATGGCTTTACAACCAAACCTTTGCGAAAGCGCTTGCGTGGTTCAGAACAAAAAAACATCGTCACCAAAAGAAGATTCGCAAATGCGCGAAAACATCACCCTCACCAAAGCAAAGATTAAGGTCTACGAACCCCTCAATTAACGGCCTGAAGGGTTTAGCGAGGAATCATTTCATCTCCAAAAGAATCATGGTGGTCGCATGTTTGGGTCGTAAGCAATTCTCTGGTACAAATGTCAACATACTTCTTTGCCAATATACCCGCCTTCAACATCTGTATCAGAACGATTGTTCCTTCAGTATATGTCAAGTATGCTGTTCTTGATCCCACCTGGTACATGTGGGACATCTGTAACCTATATGCTTCCTACCTGTTGCCACCATGAGTGACAATTCTAAAAGCCTCCTCAACAAGCAGGAGGCCTTTCAAGCACAAGTTGCTAGGAGTGAACATGCTCCCGGTACCATGTGCATTCTGCCAGGTGATGGCACTCTTTCTGTCGTCCACGAAAGGTGGCCCCGGCGGCTTCAAAGGTTCGATGGCACGCCGCTGGGGGTCCCCAAGATGTCTTGAAAACATGGGGGTCCACTGGGTCCACTTCTAAAGCACAAAATCTTGGGGGAAAGTGCTGCAAGACCTGAAACCACTTCTAAACCAAATCTTGAGGAAATCTTGTCTTCTAAATCACTTCCAAACCTCAAGCCACGTTTCGCATCACATGTTTACTGTCCTTGCTCAGCAAGATGGCAAAATTCACTTCAGTGCCAATGGGAAAGGCTCCCACCTCGGGCGACGGCAGCACCCAGAGAAGAGGAGGGTCCTTGGCAGTGGGTTCAGAGTAGATGGCACAAGTTACCCCAAGTTTGGTGGTTTATATGAACCCCCATCTGAAAGAGGTGTACGGGTTTGTGCTATCTACTCTGAAACAACTGTCTACACATTCATGACATGTATAAAATTGTTTTTTTCCGCATCATATTTAGGTTCTATCTTGTGAAACGTTGAAGACAAACAATTCAATTAAACCCATCATCATCTCCTTTATTATTCTTAGACTTCGGAAGGTTTCTTCAGGTCTCCTCGAGGTCCTCAAAAGAACGCCCCCAAGCGGCAGTGCTGCTGCCTTTTTGCGCCCCGGTTGGCCCGCCAGGCGAGTGTCATCTTCTGGCCATGAGAAAAAACTGAACAACAAACAACTCAACCTTCCTGGACCTTCAAGGGGTGTCCAGGCTGGAGGTCCCTTAGTAGTGTAGGGGCTTCCAGCCAGGTGACCCCTTTGAGGGTGCTGGTTTAGGCATCAATCGGTTGAGGCAAACAGTTCGAACAAACGCGAACCTAAACAACAAGATTCTTTTTGCCCCCTGAAACCTGCTGAGCCGACCCAGCTGCGTTCTATCTTTCTGAAATCACTCTTTCAGTTTCGGACAATGACAGGTTAGGGGCTTCCACTTGTTTCCACCCAAATGGTTCTGCAAATTCCGCTTCTCGGGGGTAGACATCTGACGGATCCCTCCACGGAAGACCGCCTGGTTCTTGTGCACATACACATCATGGCCGAAGACCGCCTGTCTCTGTCTTTTCCGGCTAGGTATTGGAAGGCAGGAAGGTGGCTAGTTGCTAGTTGAGGTTATGGCCATTCAGTCATCTCGCCAGGAATCCTCCAAAAGGTTACCCCACCCTGGGTGCATGCAGTGCATGCACAAGAGGTTATGACCATTCCCGATTCCCGCACACCAAGTATTTACAGGCATGGGGCCCTTGACGTCCAAAGATCTTGTGTTGCTCTTCGCCATCTCAGTCAGATATGAATAGAATGTGGAACCTTGATCCCCAAGAGTTTCTGGTATTTGGACCCGCACCTACCACACCCTTGCTGAAATCAAATATACACAGAATTTACATGAAAAGTACTCAAAAATACTCAAACCACATGCTTTAGACGGTGACACCATTTAAAAAAAAACACACACACACACACACACGATTGGTATGGTAGATCGTATTCCTTTCTGGGGAGTTTGAAACTTGCCCAGTAGCCATTTTGGCTCAAGCCATTTTGTCTCAAGGGCCTGACATTTGTGCTCTAGTTGAGCTAGCTCGGCGCGGGGTCCTTTTGCTGTGCATCTCGTCGCCATGTTTGAGCTGGTTCATTGTGGATTGGGACGACCGCCTGGTTGGATGGTTTATTGCACTGGGTGGAGCCTGGTGTTTCCTGAAGTTACTTTTGATGTATAAAACTCGCGATTAACCTGGAATCCATGGTCTATTCTCCGAACCTTCCAGGGGGTCGTTGCCTGGGAGGTCTAGGTAATTTGGTACACACACATGTTGCCTAGCAAATTTCCCGCCTTAACAGTTGTGCAATCTACCAGATGCCCTCTCTTAGCAGCCCCATTCCACTTGAAACAGCTTGAACACATTATAATTAGTTTTGATGCAGTTTGATGCTTCATTCCAAACGAACACATCTTCACACAGTTGGAGTAGTCGATGGTCATACTTTGAAGTCATTCATTCAATTCTGTCAAAACTAAGATCTGTCAATTGACGATCAATCATGCCCAAAGGCTCATTGGACTCTCATAGCTAAGGTTTTGACCCTCACAACTACAGTAAGGGTTTTGGACCTCAAACCTGTAGCAGTTGGTTCGGGTCCCGGGTCGCCTCTGGGTGGATCAAAATACATCAAAATACACGACTCGAACGACTCTCATGCGGCACCGCCCCGGTCCGCACGTGGCGATGGTGCCCTCGGACGTCCACCCGCCTTCAGCTCCGGACAGTCGATGAAGCCCACGCCGGTGGCGCCTGTGACCTGCTTGATGCGCCCCGTCCTCGGCGGGCGGGCGCCGGTGTTCGGATCGGGCGAAGAAGCGCGGAGAAGGATCCTTAAGGGTTTTAGGCGTCAAAGAGGCAGGGTTTGGGTGGGTGGTGAAGGTGATCAAACGGGGGAGGATGGCAGGTTGGAAGTTGAAGATGGTTGGGGAGATTTCAGTAGATGTCCAAGAATCAGAAGAATATTACTAAGTGATGGTGAAGTCTTTCAAACCCAAACAAAGACAACTACATGGTACAAGTGCTTGACCATCCTGTTATCATCCGTCTGATCCACGTCTTTTTGGGGCGATTCCCGTCTGTCCACGTCTTCGCGGATTGGGTCCGGCCGAAGCGGCTTCCTCTCCGTTTCGGACGTCGCGTTTCGCTGGGACGGTCGCGAAGCCCTGGGGAAGCGAAAGCAGACCTCAACGGCCAGGAGCACCAGCCACAGCTTGGGGTCTCTGTAGGACCGGTCTCCCGCGAAGGTCCGACCGGGAAGGTTCTAGTACTGGTCGACCGGGTGGCCCCCAGTCGCGCGGGCCGAGGCCCCTGCGCGCGGCGCTTGGTCAAGGAGTCCGCCGGGGCATAGGTGAGGTCCTGAGAACCGTTCAAGCACCAGGACCTTCCAAGTTCGGTGCTTCTTGGACACCCCTTAACCACTAAGAGGCTCTTTATGGACTCAGAAGGGAGGTCCTGGCACTTGGAAGTGAACTGGGTGTTGTAAGCCTACTCACCATGACCGTGGAAGTAGATATTTATATCTAGCAGGCCGTCATATCTAGGAGTGTGCATAGTCTTTTTTCTAATCTCGTTTTTACCCTGACTGATCAGCAAATCAGCTAAACCGATCATTGCTTGATTGACCTTATGCTACAAACGTGAATGCTTTCTTTGGGGGAAATACAACACATAGAAAGTCAATCAAACAAAGGTTACGGCTATGGTTCATGCCACCAATCTAAAAGATTCTAAAAGCATGTAGACGCCACTTTTCTGTGTACCACCCTCCCCTTTCGACTCGGTGGGACTGGGCCATGAGATTCCTTTCTTGGGCAGCTCAACCAGCCCGTGCTCGACCTGCTCAGAAATTCAAAACATTCACCAAACCGCATCCCCACTGGGAGTAAGACCTCTCTTCCACTCGCAGGGGTTGCCTCCTCTCCCGCTCGCCCCTTTGTACTTCGGCGCCGAGGACGGCGCCGGCACCGCGCCGTTGACGACGCCGGGCGCCAGCTCGGGTCCTGAGGGGCGGCAGCGTGCCATGAGTTGGATGGCTTCGTCAGACGGTGGTTCTCCACGACGACGAACGTGACGACGACGACGAACGAACGTGGTTTAACATGCCATTGGGAGGCATTCACCCGGAAAAAGCCGACATGGTGTGCCTTGAAGGGGGAGTCAACCCAGCGACCCTTTTGACACAAGATCGGCCTAGGCAAATCGGTGACATCTCGTTGAAACAAATCCGAAAAGCGATGAGTCATGATGTCCATACCAGGACCCCCAAGGGGTGCTTATAACTGCTTAAATGGGGGCTCCTGGTACAGTCGCACCAAATCCAGCTAAAAAGATTCAAGAATTCAATCCTTCATGAAAGATACGTAGGCATCCTGCGGTCAAGATCAGGCCCTCCGAGCCCTTTCAAGTCAACAACTTGGCAAGTCTTGGGCCAGTTAAGTCGTTAAGTCAACTCAAGTGATTCCCATTCCGAGGACTGAGAGTTCTGCAGAACCAGTCCCCAAAAGTGGCCCAAAAGTGCCCCTCCAAAACACGCTGCGGAACAAGAAAACACGGCGCCAGTGAAGACGATCCCTAATTCATGTTGCTTCATCCCTAAAGCTGAATGACTAAATGTATTATTCTTGCTGCCATGTTCTGCCCGGCAAAAAAAAACAACAGTTCTGCACCCGAGGCTCTTCTTTGAAGCGTTTCCGTGATGACCTGGAGTTTGGATAAGGCGACCAGCGAGGACACGGATGCGGACGTCTCCGGACAGTTGGAGGACCACCAAGCTGGTAGCAACTTCCAAGCTGTGGATATTGTTAGGTCCTCTGAAGAACCAATGGCTTCATGCTTTGGTTCGGCAGAAATCTTCTTTGCTGCATGTCATCAACAAGACATTGTATTTATAGCAATGTACAATTTCATATATATATATATTAATATATATATATATAACTATAGTGTATAGTAATAATACGTGCTGTTGGAGGTTTCAATGCATCTTTCTCAAATGCTCGTCTAGCCAAGTCGATCCAGTTCTCAACCAAACAAACACCGAAGTCCGGGGTGCCAGGTGTGGGACAAGGTTCACAATCGGATCCAGGGAATCCATGTGGGGTGACCCTCCAAATAACTTTTGGTTCAAACAACCTCAACATGCCATGCTTTAGGGTTGAGTGGCTCAAGTGTCTTTTGTTGGTCACATCCACCCCATTTCATGCAGGTTTTGATGTGCTTTTATGTATGAATGTCTACTGTCTATAGTTTTAATATGTGTTAAATCATTTTCTATGGGGCCATCAGGTCCCATACACTCCATACGACTGGAATCGGACTGCCGCCCCAGACACACACCCCTGGCACCACCACCCCGACGGCCGTGCCACTCGGCAGTCCGTGCCACTCGTCCGCGCCGCGTCCGCGCCGCAGCGGGACGATGCGTCCAAGGCACTGTGAGCAGCGTGGCATCGTCCAAGGCCGCCAGGGCCTGTAGCATGGCCCTGGACGTGGCGGATGGATGGCGCGAGCGGATGGAGGGGATGGACGTGGAACCGAAGAACTACCTCAAACAATGGCATATGGACCCGAACCAAAGGTACTTGCGAGGTACGAACTGAGACTCCTGGGACACCAAAGGAAGCCGTTCCAAAAGCCGGACAAAAAGAATGTAGTTGCTGCAGTATCAGGTGGTGTTCTTCCCAGTAGCTGCTGGAAGACTGAGTAGCCACAACGTGTTGAATGCAACACCACAAAAAAGTGGTTTTGGTCATGTGCCCAAAAGGTGCTCAGGTTAACTCAATTCAACTCAAGACCTGCACTTGAGACTTGAATAATCACGGCCTGACACATCCTTACACACGAAACACGTATACCGTATACACACCCATGTTTAGCCTGACAGGTCTAGGTCTACCTTTGTTGGTGTCAAGCTGTTTGATCCTCACAAACCCTGCAAGCCGCGCCAGTCCACTGTGGCCCCGCACTGTGTGTCCATGGCCCAACCTCAGCCAAGCGTGCAACATGCAAAATGTCCGTCTTTCATCCATAGAACAAGCCAAAAGGATCCAAAAGGCAAACATGTTGCGTTATGTTGCGTTGGAAGATCTGTGTCGTATAACCACATGCACCACATGCAGCACTCCTTTCTGACTTCAAGCTCTCAAGTCCGAGATAACATGATCCCCCCAGAAACATGATCGTCCTTCAGGAAGGGCAGTGGAATGTCTGCGAGTGAGTTCAGGAAGGTAGGTTTGGACATACGGTTACATCACAGAACACCCCCGACACCAAGAAGATGATGATGTTTTATTTTTTGAGGGCGCTTTTGTCGTCTGCCCAGTTCTGGGTCGATTCGGTGCCTTTCTCTTGGGTTTGGACTCGGCCGCTATTAATTGGAGTCGCCCTAGCAAGCCACTTGGAGGACCGAGGGATACCGAGGGTCCAAATACCTTCTGAGGTACGTGGAGGTGTAGTGACCTCGGGCCAACACCGGCCATCGCCCACCGGTGCTGGGAGCCTCCGCCCAGCAACGACCGCGACGCCCAGGTCGAGGCAGTCGGAAGGCGGGAGATGGTCCACGGTCTCACGGTGGTGGGGCCTGCGGGGGGCCCCACCTGATCATCTTGACAGCTACGGGCAGGCGGCGAGTCACAGTCTTACAGATTCCACACCCTGGCCATGTGAGTGCAAACGGTGAAAAACTTTCTACCAAACCTTGGCCATGCTGTCTCTGATCAAGCCAGCGACAAGGAAAACCCATCAAGCAGGCTTGATATGATATGTTCGTCGTGTTGCGTGGGGAAATGCACGCATCTGTCTACGCACAAGAACATAACGCACGAAACAAAGGCTTTGCGGCTCTACTGTGAGGAGCTGTGCTTGAGTGTCCACACCAGGGCTGCATGCAATTCAAACAACTGTCAACTGGCCTTGCATTTCTCGAGGGAAATAGTTTGTCTGAACACGACCGAACCAAAAAGCCATAGAGCCTCTATCTGCTTCCAAATGGACAACCCTACAGGTCTCCATTGGACACCCATTGGAAGTGCTAGGATATGAGCCTTCTTTGGTGCTGCATGCACTTCACAGAACCTGCTCCGCCTGCACCCTCGACACTTTTTCGGGACACTGAAGTACACCGTTGACGTTCTCGGGTTTCCGCTGTTGCGACAAGCAGGCTGCTACCTCCAGCGGCGAGAAGCTCCGAGGATCTTGGACGGACAATTTGAATGTTTCACGAAAAGTTGATCCTGAGGAACATACGGGACCCAAATTCATCCCAATTTGAACAAAAAATACCAACATACCGAAAGAAGAAAAAGCCAGCTCACTGCTTACCGAGCTTACCTATTTATGCTGCAAGTCTCGTCGCTCCTTGTGTGGCACAAGGATTGGTCAGTTCAGCACATGACACCACAATGAAAGAAACGTCGACACACACAGACTATCCACGGGACCGGAATAGGTACCTACATGGATGAGTCATTTTCTCGGGCCACCCCCCCGGACCCCCTACCTACTCACTTCGTTCGCCAAGCACAACTCAGCTGGCGCCTTCTACGAAGGCTGGCTTTCGTAATATGTCTATGTTTCTGAGGTTCAAGGACTGGAAGCTCCAATCTCCCAGTTCGTTTTCCAGTCTTCTGGGGGTTTTCCATTCTGAAGCACGACTTCTTGCTGATGGAGTGACGACCCACCGCCGATTTTTCCACACCCATCTACCGGAATGTGACTGGTGATCTACTTTAAAATCTTTAAAAGCATATGAGCAGGAAGAATTCGGATTCAGCAACAGTCCGCCTCCAAAGAACTTTTCAGCTGCAGGCCCTCAGCGTTGAGACAATGACTACAGTGCAAGGTCTCCTGCAGCGACGTTCTCGGAAAGTTGTTCCAGGGAGGCTCAGCAAACATGAAGTACTGTGCGGAAATGAAGAATTGGGCGACCAATTCAAAGAATTCGGAAAAGCTGAAGCAACAACTCTTACCAGCTTGGAACTAAGTAGGGGTCTAGCATGAAACCAAAAACTCTTACAAGGACCTAGCACCTAGCAGGATGATGCAAAATGCTTGGAACTCAAAACCCCACCATTCTTTTCATGGTCTTGGACTCCCAGAAGCACTTGCATCGCCTTGGAAGCACACCGTTCGCATTTGGAGGTCTGTCTGCTCTCAACGGGTCCTTGAAGACGTGGCACCCTTCGCAACTCTCCAGGTAGGGGCCCGGTGGAAGTCGCCGGCCATTGGGCACGCCTTGACAGGTCCTGCCGGTGCGACGGTCACACAACGGGCATTTCTACTTATTCTCAAATGTTGATTCTAGATCAACAAAAAAAGAGCTCCCAAGAGTGGACACATGTGATCACACGTTCTGAGTCAACTAATCAACTATATGTCCATTACTGAGTCTGCCTCTACCACTACCACCAGTCTTTGGGTTTTCCTTCCAGTCAAACCCCCGCAGGGGAAGCCCGACGAGATATCAACGTCCAAGTGTCAACTTGCCCTCTCGATTGTGAAGCTCTGCAGGACTTTGGCATCGCGACACTTCATAGCTGCTGACCAAGCGCTGCCCATCCGACTTGGCGCATTCACCTTGGAGACCAAAGACCCCACAGAAGAAGGCGACCAACATCGTGACACCCTGGTCTTGAGATACCAGGTTGTTCATCGTTGTGCTTTGGACGCTGGGTTTTCAATCAGTAGTAAAAAGTAACTCTACTATAGGTCTCTAAGGTTCTCTATATGATTTGTCCACTTGAAACCAATAGTGACCCAGCTCTCCAGTATATGGCTGTCAAAACCTGGAGCCCCAAAGCAGGGTAGGTTGCCCTTCCAGGTAGGCCAAGGTCTGGTTCTGAGCCACAGCCATAGTCACAGCCTTGGGGATCTACATTGGGGATCTCCTGCCAGGGGCCCATCGATGCGCCCAGTGGAAGCCTGATCGGTTGCAGGCCCACATCCATCTCGATGATATCGGTTGTGCCCAATGGATCCAGATGGATGAGGCCCTAGGGCCCTAGAGAACATCCATCTCGACATGTTCTCGTGTTCTTCACATCCGCTCCCTGGCCTATCCCGGACGTCCCAGTGGCAGCTCAACACATCGTCCAGCTGCTGACCTGAAGCGGCTGAAGCGGCAGCGGCATCGGGTCGGTTTCCAGGGTCGATCGACGTCGGAAGGGCTAAGAGGAAAAAAGACACGGCAGCTGAGTGGTCAAATGCTCAAACCGAGATCGGCAGCATGTGGCAGGTCTCTCTTGCGCAATGTCAACCATGACATACTGGACAGCGGAATCACCAATGCCTTCCCTATAAATAAACCTACAGATTCAGGAACATGTATATATAGATACTAATAATGCTCGATCGCTCCGAGTTCCGGATATAGAAGTCTTGATGGGGAAGAACACCACCAGAGCCGGAAAGCTCCCTGAGACCTTCATCGCAACAGCGGAAAGCTTAGACCACCCTTGCAGTCTAAGCTTAGACCCAAAATCCCCCGACACCTTCACATGGTCTAAACCCATTTTGTCGGGTCATCCACCGCCTCAACACCTCATCCCCCAGGGCAAGGCCCAGGGCGGCGATGATTTCATCCGCTTGGATCGGTCCAGGCCAAGGAACACTTGGAGCAACTTTGCTTGTAGGGTCCAGCCAGCGAGCCGCTACAAACAAGCTCTCCATCCTGGCAGACCCAGCGGACCCAGCATCCAAGAAAGAAAGAGTTGCCCCACAATCACTTGGATTCGTGATGATTGAACGTCAGCCTCCACTCACCAAAAATTGAACATCAACCTCTATATTCTCACCGACTCCCCCGAAACACCAGGGTCAGACGGTCTCGTAAGACCTTTCACAGCAACCCAGTCGTGCCCAGTGGCCAACTTGAAGGACTTCGACATTTGGAATATAGGTGAAAAGGAAGGACTTCCGCCGTTTCCTGGACCAAGAACATATAGGTTTCATACGTTTCCACCGCTTGTGACCAGTGCGTCTTCCCGGTGTTTCACTGGTTTTGTAGGTGATCCACGTACTTCCGCATAGGGGAAACCTATATCATATCCCACACTATATCCCACATGTTGTCGCAAACATAAAGTGAAGAGTCCACTGAGGAAGATGAGGCAGTGAAGTTCACCTGTGGTGTCCAACTACCAGGCCACATTCTGTTCGAATGGATCAAGTTTTAGCGGTTGTAAGTGCGAGGCTGGATCTAAAGACCAGTTGCGTCCACATCAGGTTCCCTTGCATGCTTCCCACTGCCTTCCCTGCAAAATGCTCAGCATGATTTCATGCAACAAATCGCCCATACCTCTTGGCTTGAATATGCTTGAATCAAACCACCATGGATCACTCCTATCCACCCATTCTCCTCCACCTCATTTCACCCCGAAGACCGCTCGGCGCCTGGTTTTCCAGCTGCGCCGGCCACCGGCAGCGCCCCGCAGCTGCCTCCGCCGCCACCTGTCGCCCGTCTGCCCGGCGGCACAAGGCACAGGAGACGTGTCCAGCCTCGGAGCGGCAGCCTTGACCTCGGACGTGCTCCTCCGAGCGCGAAGCGGCGCGAAGCGGCGCGAAGCGGGGGGAGACTGTTAGATGGCGATCTCTTGCTGGGAGACAATCTGTTCAATTGAGGTACAGTAAGCAAGTGAGGAACATCAGACTTGCTTCCAAGTGACAACAGGGCTGTCCAGGATGGATGTATGGCCTAGTTGGAAGATCCAGGTATCTACATACCAAATAGTTTGGCATTTGGGAGTGAGGAACAGCATTTGTACATATTGGTACAATCAGCTTTATTGCGTCAATGTGACATGGTCACGCATCGTTTGACTCTGCTTCCCATCATCCCGTCGCCCAGTGGCAGGACTTCAGATATGGCCCAGGCGGGCAGGCGAGGTCGTTGGGGACCTGAGGAAAGGAAAACAACAAAACAAGTGATGGAAATAGGACCTGGCAGGTGGTAATACACTCCATATGGAACTGAAATGTGGACCTAGGCCAAGGTCATACACTGCATTATAGGGACTGGAATAGGTACATTCAACATTCCGGGATCGGCGAAGCGGGAGACAGCGAGGCTCGTATGGTCCATGACAGACGAGGCTTAGAATCGACCTCATAAGCTTTCTCTCGGCTCCCCGTGACCTCTGGGCTCCCTGTGACCTCTCGGCTCCCCTGTGACCTCTGGGCTCCCCTGGGCTCCCCTGTGACCTCTGGGCTCCCCTGGGCTCCCCGTGACCTCTGGGCTCC